CTCTACATTTCCAACGATTCTCAAAAGCTCTATTTTGACGCGAAAGCTTCGCCTCGCTCGCGTAAATGCTACCACTAACGCCATCTATGTACTAATGTGACAATGTAGAGCTGTAGCCGTTCGTTCGTAGCTACAAAACAACGCGAGAAGAATCGGCTACAATTTGAATAAGTATTGAATGATTCTGAATATTCACTGTTTTTAGGTTATTGCTCTTTAATATCTAATTGACTAAAACTACGATTTAATAATATTAATAGGGTAGAATTACCTAGTACCTTTATAGAACAAAATATAAAAAGCTACTTTCAAAATTCACTATAAGTTGGTATTTTCTTGCTCGTAGCAACAACAAGCTTAGTTTTGACGACGCTTTCAAAAACCTAATGAATCAGGAATGCCTTACCTGAAGATGAAAAATAACGTGACCATTTTCACATCAAACGGCAGGTGACAGTTGTAAAAACAGCAGCTGCATCAAAATATAAATGAATTTAATGGTCCAAAACAATTGCTATCAAATTAAAGTTCCAAACCGATAAAAAGCCGGAGTCCAATTAATTCAAATCGATTTCCACTTAAGCAAACCCCGCCGCTAACAATCAGAATTTCAAATTCGACTTCCAAAGAACGCACGCAGAATGGTGTAAAGGTTCTTTTTTGATTCCAATATGCCAGCTAAAGGACACCAAAGAAATACTAGTAGCGAGCGAGTTAGGTTGGCCAGCCTGAATCTGATGCTATCTTGGCAGTTGGCACACCTGACCGACGCTAATTGGACAATAAATCAATTCTTCCCCGCTTCTTATTGGCGAATCGGGGCATTCCAATATTGAAAATTTGGCCGCGCGATATTGACATGATAAAAAACAATAGGGGCCTATCTTTTTCTTTTGTGTTCATCTCGGATCCCGGTTCTTATTAAGGCTGAATCGCTTTATGTTTTGTTTGTGTCGCCCAATGTCTTATCGGTTAGACAATTTGTTTTTGGTAGCTCGTTATTGAATTATTAATATTGATATTTTGTATGAGAGATACGAATGAGTGACGTTTGAAACGACCGTTTCGGAGTACTTTTCGATGTCTTTTTTTCAACGTGCTATTGTCCTACCATCACTGGCCGGCTAACACAAAAAATGATCGAAAAAATAGTTGAAGCTATAGCTTCAATTGTATTCTATCTAGCATTAAATTTGTATTTTTTATTGTAAGTACCGATTGTTAAGTGTGCAAACAAAAATCACTAGCAAATTAAAGGCTCTTGGGTGTTGAGTATTTTTCAGGCGCGGATTCACCGTTGTGGGCACTGTGGGCATGCCCACAACCCTAACTTGCTTGTTTTAATTATGATCAATTGATAATATCCATAGGCTGATGATAAAAACGGCTAACTGATGAGCCTTTAAAAAATCGAGCGTGATTTGGAACACAGCCGTTCCACTAAAACGCCGCCGCCAACGACCACTTAGCTCTCACTTTGCAAATGGTGGCTGTGCCCACAACCTTTTTTGAGGGCTGGATTCGCGCCTGGTATTTTTTACTGCATATGACATAGGTTGTAATTTTTTGTGATCTTTTTCTTTAAACTCGTACCATACTCGTTTTTCAGGTGGGTGTATCAATTTAGTTGAATTAAAAAGGCATCAGTATACGAAGAAAAACCAATCACTGTACTTACAAAAAAAGGTTTCGACTGCCCGCCAAAAACAAAGTCTCTAACAAAAATATGTTCACAAGCAAAGATCACAAACGTATACAGCCTACATAAATAAATAGTTTAGTTAGGCAAAGGTCGTAACATTTGCGAAGTTGGAGCATCCATTATTAGAGTTATTAACAAAACGGAACGCACGGCTAATCTGGGCGCTGTGTAATTAAATTCTGAGAACAAGCGAGCTATTAAGGCGAAACGGTAGCGCTTTCCCATTATGAAACGGAACGTGAATAATTATTTCGTTCCTTGCTTCTTTTGCACTCACATTTCGATTTTGGACGCTAATTCACCGTCGCCTGGCCGCGGCACGGACTTGTAAACAACGTTATTCAATTACAACCGAGCGTTCAAATAAAGTTAACTTTACCGAGTGTTAATTATTTTCGGCTGGCTCTGAGGGTGCACTTTTGGGATTTAATTAAACCGTTAAAGGGGAGTTGCAACTTAATCTCGGACTAATGAGCCGGGGTGTTAAGATGATTAAAACTGAACCTTATTATTAAACTAATTAATCGTCTATTTTGGCAGCAACCTCAGTCTTAATTACAGGGACTAGAATCATTATTTACTTAATATTACCATACTTATTATTATTCTGTGATATTACTTAACTGCAAAAGAGCTATGACAGTGTATTAAATTTAAATTTTCTTCATCAGGCTTGTTTTAAAATGATAGATGTCTCATTACAGGCAGCCATTGAAGTGAGACATTGTGAAATATTAAACCTAACGTTCTTTCAGAATACGGGCAACAGTTTCGTGTGGTTTTGTTTTAGTTTCTGCTACTTACTTATTCCGGCTACATGATAATACAATGGTTAGAATAGAAAGACTATATTTTGCCTCAGTTCAGACTTCAATCGACTCCAATAAAAAATTGCCTCTTTCTCTACATCTACTTAAATTACGGCTACTTTTTCATCAAAAGTCAAAACATCGTCTTCGATTTACATGTCCTCGCAAAAACCGGCGAAGTTTTCCGGGGACCACCGGCATTCAAATGAGCCATATCATTAGCCTGGCATAAACAATGTCGTGAAATGACAGCTAGCGCCGCTGTCATGTCGCTTGTGCCATCGCGGGAGGAGTTCCACTGGAAGCGAAGCTATTTTCCCCCATAGCTATACAAAGTTGTGGCGACCACGGGTTGTAAGACGTAGCGTAGGCAGGCCTCCTACTACCTACTACCACCGATGATCTGATAAAGGTCGCGGGAAGAGCCTGGATGCGGGCAGCGCAGCGCCGTTCATTGTGGAAAACCTTGGGGGAGGCCTTTGTCCAGCAGTGTACGTCATTTCGCTGAAACGAATGAACGAATCAACGAACGATATAAAGTTACAATCGTGGCAATTGGAATTCTGAAATCGCTTCTCTCCGGGGTTTTTTTAAGAAATGCTCCGCATAAAGCAGTCCCGGAACTTTCTTTATATCCCCTGAGCGCTTGTGAAAACCACAGACATTCTATTAAATCCACGATGATCCTTTTTGTCGTTAAGCTATTTAATTTTATGGCTGGGTTGCACCATCTTACTTTAACAAACGTCAAAAATCTGTCAAATTCTATCCAAAAAACACAGTTATGGTAAAGTTATAACAGGACACCTGCCTGAGTATTTGAACTTATACTCAAATGTAATCTTGCAAAGCGCATCGCTTCTACTGTGCAACCGCCTCGCGCGCTTATCAGGGCCGATCTCCATACGCACTGTTAACATGTATTTTGACAGATGACATAAGTTTCGTCGTATCGCGCCGTCATCTCTGTCGAGAGACAATTCGGATGCAATAATAAGCTCCCGTCTTACGATACAGGTATACGTGAATCATGTAATGGGCCCGCGTTAGATACGATAACTTTGTGGGACAATGACGAACGGTTATGATAATTTTCACTGATACACGCACTACGAGTATATTTACGTGTCATAATAGGTTTAGGGCATTGTACAAACATATTGCTACGTTGAGTGCGAGGAGCATGCGCAATTTTTTGTTGGAAGGCCGTAAAGAGAATGTCCTATTCCTGTACCACGCAGGACATCTAGTAGCATCTTTGCAGTTGAAATGTGTTTTTTTTTTATTTGGTAGGTAAGGCAGTCTGGGGAGGAGTCGATAAAAATGTTCAGACTGCCTAGCCCAATACAGAACACGTAGGTAGTTCCATCTAGACTTCGGAAGACATTGTCAAGGTTTGTTGGTGTGCCCCGCTCACCTAGGGAGACTGTTGTGGACTGTTGTGTCGAAAAGTGAGTCCACCTTACTTTAAATTCGTACTTAAAGCTAACCTACGAGTAACGTTCTATAGGACTTTAATTACCTAATGCTTTTACTAAAACAAACGAATGCATGTAGGTTACATTCTAAGCATACTTTTTCAAAATGCCGAGCCTTCAAAAATGATGAATTGTTGACAACAATTTTATTTGTACTACCATCAGAAGGCGAGGAATGCGCCCGTGACAAATATGTATCACTGGCATCGCGACGTGTGTCCGCGAGGGGCTCCTAAACAATTAATTAGATTAATAAACAACTGATAGGCGCACGCGCCGGGGGAATGCTACCGTTCTACTTGCATGCTCATTAATTTGTTGTCTGTGCAGGTTGATGGACGTTCCAAATAGTTTGATTTGATAATTGAATAATTCTTTGAGCCATTATACTAATAGAACCAGTCTTTTGCCACTTTCGGTTATATCTCTATCGAATAAGTATTGTACTATGCACTGTGTAATAATGATCTTTTTGTGTGAACCTTTTTCATGAGCATGCTCATACATAAAGTCCTAGATCTCAAGTTGCATGCGCGTCATGGTCCATTTTTGTAAAACGTACTATCTGTTTGTTTTGGTATACGAGTACATTAAGGTTTTTGGTTAGCAATAAATTTCTGAGCTTATTAAAAATTCATGGCACTAAAAGTTGTGGTAATTCCAATGGTATTATAGTAATTCTATCGTATCGACTCATGACGATTAGGAACAAATCTCAAATTAAATTAACCGGAAGTTTGGAAAATTCGTTATTCCGTTATACTTCCGGTTAAAATTTTAATGATGAAATATTACGACCGTTCGATAGAACCTAAAAATGCACGATGCAAATATACAAAAAACAAACAATAAATGAAGAAATCAATAAATTAATGCTAGCCCCGCAAAAATAACGTAATAAAATTACTTTTTAAATACCGTTAAGCGTAACGTTAACCCTCACCAAAAGTTCAAATAGGCCTCTTGACACATGACAGCGTAATGACAATGACAGTGACAGCTGACAGCTAACCAAAATTGTCAAAATGTGAAAAAAGAAGAAGAAACAGCGGCGGATGCGTTTTGCAGAGATTTTGCATTTTTATTTCATATTAACTAACAATAGTTTATACAGTATAATCTAGCACATTATTCAGTGATCCTTCCACAAAATGGCTGACGACGAAGGTAAGTGTTTACTATCTAATCTACAGTACTTTTATTGTTTTGTATTTCTTCTTACATATACATTTTTTAACTAAATTCTCTTTCTTCTTGTTCTTTCTTAACTCTAAACCGTGTTTGGATGTCCCCCATGAACATTCTCAACTATTCACAATCATTTAAACAGCATTATTACGGAGTAAATATTATGCTGTTTTAGGTTATATTTTGGACTACAAAAACATACACAAACTTATTTTTATCAAACATGAACATCTTTTAAGTCATAATACTTCCAGTTATTCATCACAAACTGTTTTAAGCATAAGAACAAGTAACTATCTATCTACAATTTATTTTTTGTATAGACTGTCCCATTGACTAATAATATTATTTGTTTATTTTCTAGCACCATCGGACAGCAGCCTGCTAGTAATAATTGTTGACACAAACCCCAACCAGCGATACATCACAGAGGACCCAAAAGTGCTGACAGGGTGTCTGGACGCTGTCATAGCGTTTGCCAACTCACACTTGATGCAAAAGGCTCTGAATCAACTCGCTGTTATTGGCTGCCATTTTCATAAAAGGTATGTTGCTCATTTATATCTAAAAGAAGAGTGGGAATGATCTTATCCTCTCTGCTTCTACCACACTGTTAAGAGAGGAGTCAAGTTATAAAGAGGTCGATTAGTTGTAATATTGTTCGGTATGTTGTTGACCAAATCCTTTTTTACCTTCGGTGACTAATATGTATTTATAAAAAACTTTATACTGATTTTTTAACCACAGGTTTTTGTTAATTTTCAGTGAATATCTGTACCCTGCACCTGGAAAACCATTGGATGTCAGACAAATTGATGGACAGTATGAAGTATTTACATTAGTTGAGAAAACAGTAAAATCCAGGTACACTTGCTATTTTTGTATAATTTATTTAACTATAATTCTCATATAGTATCCAATATTGACATGTATATCTTGTTGTAGACTGGTAAATCTAATCAAAAGTCAACCTCAGGAAGAGAAACCTGGGGAATCTTTGATAGCAGGAGCTCTAGCGATGGCACTATGTTTCATAGCAAGAGTAAGTAGAATCTTTTATTGTAAAATGTTTACATATTTTGCATTTTTAACCAAATGTTAAGTAAAAAGTACAATATATTTTGATCATACACAAACGAGGAAATTCAAATTGTTGATTTGCATACTATGTACCAATTACTAAGTATACTTAAAGGTCTTATCACTTATACTAATGCATATAACTTAGTGATTAGTACTTTGGTAATTTATTTTATTTTATTGTTATGAAAACAAACAGCATTTTATAACACACATAGAATTACTAATTAAACCTCACATTTTCCAAATGAGTTTTCACAAATACAAATACAGAAATAATAATAATATGCCCGCAGTGTTCCAGCAGCTAAAAGTCCCTGTCTTGGCATATTTCAACAACTTATACTAGAACACAGATTTTTCAGACTGTGGTGAAACACATTTTTCGTATTCCATTCATCATCATCATTTCAGCCATAGGACGTCCACTGCTGAACATAGGCCTCCCCCAATGCTTTCCATGTTGATCGATTGGCAGCGGTCTGCGTACAGCGCTTCCCTGCTACCTTTACGATGTCGTCGGTCCACCTTGTGGGTGGACGTCCCACGCTGCGTTTTCCGGTACGCGGCCTCCATTCCAGAACCTTTCTGCCCCATCGGCCGTCAGTTCTGCGTACTATGTGCCCTGCCCATTGCCACTTCAGCTTGCTAATCCGTCGGGCTATGTCAGCGACTTTGGTTCGTTTACGGATCTCCTCATTTCTGATTCGTATTCCATTAGTATTTTTTTATTGTGGTATGTACTCACTATTATTTACTACCTCATGATGTCCCATTTCAATAAATGTCTCCTTTCCAGATGCGACGCGAATCTCCACCAGGTTTACGTCTAAGCAGCCGCGTGCTCATAGTGACGGGCAGCTCAGACACCGCGGCCCAGTATATCAACTATATGAACGTTTTCTTCACAGCACAGGTAATCATGTCATTCATATTTACTAGGATTTCAGTATTTAGGAAAAGGATCTCAAACAAATTTTATTTCATTTGACAGTAATTCGATTCGGTGTCACTATCTACATACCAAAGTTCATGAAAATCATGCCTGTTTTCACCATCAATTCCTAATTAGGTAAAAATTAGGACATAAACAGAATTTTGTTTTCATATGGGTCACTTAAAAATTAGGGATTGATGGTGAAAACGGGCATCAGTCTCATTTAAGTGTGAAAAGGTAACAAATAGATCCCATCAAAAACAATACTTGTCAAAAAAACCAAGTCTCGCAACTCAGTTGTTCAGTCAGTGAGTGACAAAATTAAGTAACTTTGACCCGTTATAATTCTTAAACTACTGGTTCAAATTGAATGAAATTTTAAATATACCGTGTCTTTACAATGCCTGCATAGCTAATGAAAATTCAGCCTTCTAGTTTTATCCACAACGAAGTTACAGGCAGTCGAAAATGGCCTGAATTGCTTCGAGAAAAGGATGGTACGGCCGTGCCGCTTTTTTGCTCGACTGCCGTGCCCCCAGATTTATGGAAGCATGTATTGTAACTTTCAACCTCCTCAACCTTTCTGACCATGGCCGCATGGGGAGAGTAAGCCAAATCCTGCATTTGCCTCTGGTAAATGTATTTATTATTTTACTAGCTTTCCGCCTGCGGCTTCGCCCGCGTGGATTTTTGTCTGTCACGGAAAAACTATCGCTCGCGTCCCTGTTTCAAAAACCGAGATTAAACTATCCTATGTCCTTTCCCGGGACTCAAACTATTTATGCCAAATTTCATCAAAATCGTTTCAGTGGTTTAGGCGTGAAAGCAAGACAGGCAGACAGACAGAGTTACTTTCGCATTTATAATATTATTATAGATTTTATTTTACTTTGTAAAACAAATCCTGCATGTGCCTCTGGTAAAATTATTTATTATTTTATTTTATTTTACCTTACCTTACCTTACCTCTTAGGTAAACAAACAGTGCTATTTGAATTTTGAATTAGAGAAGATCTTCCTGCAATGGAGACTAAATGACCTGACGATGTTCAATTACAGAAACAGCAAGTGCTAATCGACGTGTGCTCGCTGGACAAGCACCTGAGTCTACTCCAGCAGGGCTGCGACATCACTGGGGGTCTTTACCTCCTGGTGCCCTCGCTAGAAGGCCTGCTGCAGTATCTGCTGGTTTGTACAAACACCTCTAATGGCTGATTTACACGTATTAATAGTTAAGTATTTAACTACATTTTAACTTAATTTTAAGTGATCAAATTACATCGTAACTAAATTATAACTTAATTTTAAGTCTATGTCCAAACGTCAAGCTCTTGTCTACACTAATATTATAAAGAGGAAAACTTTGTTTGTTTGTTTGGTTGTAAAGAATAGGCTCAAAAACTACTGGACCGTTTTTAAAAATTCTTTCACCATTCGAAAGCTACATTATCCACGAGTAACATAGGCTACATTTTATTTTGGAAAAAAATAGGGTTCAGTAAAATATTTGGGTTTTTCAGAGTCCACGCGGGCGAAGCCGCGGGCGGAAAGCTAGTTTACTATAAACTGCTTGTCAAAATGTGTCAAGTGACAACCCCCGCCCACCAACTTGACAGAAAAATCAAGTTAAAATTTTGTTACCTACCTACTTAAATGTGTAAATCAGCCTTAAGTTTTTTTTTAAGCCCGTATTCACATACATTACTATGAGGACTAACAGTACGCGTGGACGCACAGGGTGACAAGCGAACCAATCACAGAGCTCTATTCAATGTTGTGCATTCGATTTGCTGCTTCACTTAAGCAAGTTACATTTGTGAATACGGCCGTAAGTCTATCATTTTTGAAACAATAGTTCAACTTGTAGGTTGAAAATGTTAAAAACAACTTATAATATCTGAATGTGACCATTTATCGAATGGAACGAAATGAATGACCATTTTTGAATTCGTGAAAAAATAAATAACTAGTCAAGTGGTTCGCTGTCCCCTGGAGTTCGTGGAGGTGAAAGTTTGAGAAAGCCTGACATAGACTAATGATGCTTATGACATCTACAGTGGGTGTTCCTTCCTGAGGCGTCAGAGCGCGCGAAACTGGTGCTGCCTGGTCGCGGTCGGGTCGACTACCGCGCGGCTTGCTTCTGTCACCGCGAGCTGCTGACCATCGGCTACGTCTGCTCCGTCTGCCTCAGCGGTGAGTGGCTCCGGCTGCATACAGTGAGTGGTAGTGTGAGTTTACGTCAAATGCATTCTATATCGACTGTACAAAAAGTGACATTAAATGTATGACGGATTGTACAGCGCCCCTAGCGGAAACTTTCTAAAACTAAAATTTTCACTACGCCCCCCGATGGCCGATGGGGCAGCAAGGTTTTCGAGTGGAGGCCATGTACCGGAAAATGAAGCGTGAGACGTCTACCCGCGTTGACCCCATAAAAGTGCAAACATGCATGCCGCCACCAACCGGTTAATTTGAAAATCATTGGGGTAGGCCTATGTTCAGCAGTGGACGTCCTGTGACTGAAATAATGATGATGATGCCAAAAGTGACAGTATCTTCCGCCACTTCTTCTTAACACCGGCTGATAATATGTTGTCCCAAGATATATTTGCGACTTGTATGAGTGCTCTAAAGCCTACCTACTAATTTAATACCTTAGTTATTTAACTGTCCCGAAGTAGTAGCGGCGGGACAAACTTTATTTGGGACGTGTAAAAGTTCCCTCAAAATAGGCTACAATACATACTATAAAAAATATGGTATAGCCTGACCAGGAACATAAAAACCCTGGCTTAGAGGCGCTTCAATTGCATTTGATAGTGCAACACTGAGTACAGTCGTACCTGTATTAAATTAATAGGCTAACTTTATGTATCAGGATTCGGGATTATAGGCTTATTTAATATTTTCATAAATTAACAAAAACGTATTATATTATAGGTAAACTGGTTTAAATAAATTAAATGAAACCATCAATCGAGCAAGCAGGATTTTATTATTATTCATCAATAATCAAATTCTGAACTTGAATATTCAACTACAATGTCTGCTCATGAACGCTTCAAACTCGGTACTTCTTTCCCAATTCCATAAAATTCAATACTTACAAAGTGACAAAAAACTTTAAAATAGGTAGTTGAAACAAACCACAGCTAATTTTCATAGTTGACTGTACTATACGATAAACATGTCAGTCAATTTGACAACCTTTGTCAGAAACATTATTCAATGAAAATATTGTCCGAACCCTTAGTATTTCTCTTCGACAAATACTTTAACACATTGTGAACCACTTTTCTTTCACGCAATGTCTGCTCATGAACGCTTCAAACTCGGTACTTCTTTCCCAATTCCATAAAATTCAATACTTACAAAGTGACAAAAAACTTTAAAATAGGTAGTTGAAACAAACCACAGCTAATTTTCATAGTTGACTGTACTATACGATAAACATGTCAGTCAATTTGACAACCTTTGTCAGAAACATTATTCAATGAAAATATTGTCCGAACCCTTAGTATTTCTCTTCGACAAATACTTTAACACATTGTGAACCACTTTTCTTTCACGGCTATTAAAAGATTTTAGCAATTTAATTCACAAAATCAATTGCGCACATTTAAAATAAAGTTTGTTTACACTTTGACAGCAATAGACTGACATGCAACGTGACATGTCAATGAAGTTTTCAGTTACTGTTGCCATTAAAAGAAATTAGTACCATTAATTTTCCGCAACATGGCGAGGGTTTTTATGTTCCTGGTCAGGCTATACTAAGGGCTGATTTTTCAATCGTCAGATATCTTTTAACTGAAGAATAACCTTGTCATTTTGACGTATTTCCCATGCCAAAACTGTCAATGTGACAAACTTATTCTTCATTTAAAAGATATCTGACTATTGAAAAATCAGCCCTAATTGTTATTTTTTTGTTTCAGTGTTCTGCAAATTCAGTCCAATCTGCACGACTTGCCAGTGAGTATTTTTAGAGTTATCATATTCTAGAAAGAAGTGATTATGTATAATGTTATCAAGATTCTAATTACGATATGAACGCGTCTCGTTCGATACGATATGCTTTATTTTGCTACTGAATTTATATTTAATTTCAACATAATTATTATAAAACGATTGAGTATTTTTGACCCCTTCAGAAACCCCTGATAGGTTATTTATTAGGAACTTATCTGTCAGATAAACTACAACTTGGTTTAACACATAACTCGGATAGAAATACTGATATTCAGTAACCACCATTTACCAACTACCTATTTGGAACTTATCTGTCAGAATCACAAAAACAGGTCGTTTTACTGAAGTCTCGTATAGATAGACCGATATGCAGTAAACTTTAAGAAAGCTTTAATATCACTGACATTCTGACATTGTGTCAGTTATATCTAAACCTTCATTTTAATCTGGCAAAATAGGCTGTGGTTCCCGTAAATAAGGAATCTCAAGTTTAAATTGTGGGATAGTTATTTTATAATTAAACTATTTTTTTCAGTACCGTGTTCAAGATCGGAGGACCTCTGCCCATCAAGCCGAAAAAGAAGAAGATGAAAGTGTAATCCTTACTTATGTACGTAACTGATATATTTTGTAAATAATATAGATGGTAAGCTATTTTTACTTGACTTGTTTTATTGATCGAAATCATTTTTCATAGTTTTTTATATTCACTGGTTGTGGAATTCAGTAACCAACCAATCTTCAGTTCAGTCAGTTGCAGTCCACTGCTGGTTCAAAAGCTTCTTTCTTTTCCTCTTTGAAGCTAAAATGATGACTGAGAACAATTACACATTACACATAATTACGTCGATCAAAAATTAAAATGCGTCCAGTATAGGTCGCTCAACGAAAGTTGAGGCAGAGTAAATACTAACGAGTAGGTCATCTTCATAGAAACGCACTTAGGGCGGTTTGTATGTGAGCGCGCCAATATACGTATGCGGCGCGCACGCACACTGACAAAATTCGGCGCAACCACGACTACTACTGACTCCCCGATAATCCATGCTAAATTTTGTCAGTGTGTGCGTGCGCGCCGCATACGTGTTGGCGCGCTCACATACAAACCGCGCCCGTGCGTTTCTATGAAGATGACCTACTCATTTGTATTTACTCTGGTTGAGGTGAACACTAAAGCTAAGTGTCCACATGTCGGTATCGTACGCATCGGACGTATCGCACGCAACGGATCGTAGTATTATTTATATAGAAACTCATATAAGTGCGTCCACCTGTCCGCATCGTACGCATCGCACATCCGATACGATGTGTTTCGTACGATGCGTCCGTTGCGTACGATACCGACAAGTTGACGCTTAGCTTTACAATACCCAGCGATAAATATTGCACATCGACCTTTAGAAAGAGACAATCGGCTAATTTCGGTTTCGTAGAGCGTTATCTCTGTCGCTATCTGTTGTTCAAGTGAACAACGACTGACAATGACGTTTTGTCAAAGTGTAAACAAACTTTATTTTAAATGTGTGCATTTGATTTTGTGAATTAAATTGCTAAAATCTTTTTATAGTCGTGAAAGAAAAGTTGTTCACAATGTGTTAAAGTATTTGTCGAAGAGAAATACTAAGGATTCGGACAATATTTTCATTGAATAATGTTTTGTCAATGACGTTTTGTCAATCGTATAGGTAGTGTGCGACGAAATTAACCGATTGTCTCTTTCCAAAGGTCGATATGCAATATTTATTGCCGGGTACTGTACTCACACTGATTTGTATACAGTGTGAGTCACGTTAAAGTGTACATATGAAAATGGATGAAACTATACCTATTTTTATCGACAAAAAAGAGGTCAAAAAAATTTTGAGATTTTTTTTTAATTTTTTATAGAATTGTTTTTCTTCCAATTGCTTATTGTAAAGAAAACGTAATAACTTTTAAACTAAGCGGTATATCCTGATAAAATAAAAACAGTAATAATGCTAAATAACAGGCGATACTAAAAAAATACATAAAATACACAAAAAAGGCCAACAAATAATGAAAAATGACACTTTTTGAAAAAAATCTGCTTTTAAATTCGTGTTTTTTTGGTTATTTGATAAATTTCTCCAAAAAATGCCCCTATAACCGTTGGTTTTTATTACTTTGTATTATTCTTTACCGTATTACCTTCGTATAACCGAAAATCGCATGTCTCTATCCCTATCACAACATTTGCTATGATCGTTTGAACAAAGGTCTGCCACAACATTATTCACCGCTACAGGTAGAGACAATTCTAATTTTAACTAAAATGCTTATTTTACTTCGAAATCTTTTATTTTTATTTGAAATCTAACTTGTCTTTATCAAAATTACAAATGTAGAGCCATTTTCAGTTTAGTTGTTAACGAAGCGTTGAATGGCGCGCCCGGAGAGGCTTAGTTCAAACGATCATTGCAAACGTTGTGATAGGGATAGAGACATGAGATTTTTGGTTATACGAAGGTAATACGATAGAGAATAATACAAAGTAATAAAAACTACCGGTTATAGGGGCATTTTTTGGAGAAATTTATCAAATAACCAAAAAAACACGAATTTAAAAGCAGATTTTTTTCAAAAAGTGTATTTTTTTATTATTCGTTGGCCTTTTTTGTGTATGTTATGTATTTTTTTAGTATCGCCTGTTATTTAGCATTATTACTGTTTTTATTTTATTAGGATATACCGCTTAGTTTAAAAGTTATTACGTTTTCTTTACAATAAGTAATTGGAAGAAAAAAAATTCTATAAAAAATTTAAAAAAAATCTCAAAAATTTTTTGACCTCTTTTTTGTCGATAAAAATAGGTCTAGTTTCATCTATTTTCATATGTACACTTTAACGTGACTCACACTGTATTACAGAACATTAAAGTTTAAGTCAGCGTATACAGATACAAATCTTTGCTTGTGTTGATGGCCTCAACTCTTATTGAGCGACCTATAACGCAAAGAAGTTAGGCCCGATTCGACCAAACTTTTATCCGAGAATAACTCCTGGCATGTTGACAGTTTCAGTATGGGAAATATTATGTCAAAACTGACTTTATTCTGAGATTAATGTTTACTCTTGTTTGGTCGAATCCACTCTTATTATGTAACTCAAAATCCTGACACCCGTGTTGTAACGTCAGTCTAAAAAGTCCACATGATGATTTACATCAAATATAGACTTCGCCCTTGTCAGCAGATGTATCAAGTACTACTGATCCTATGATTTAATTAGACCAATAGACTTTCCTGTCTTTATCATTATTGATAAATATCTGAGGTTTTACCCTCAAAAAACTAAAACAATTACTAGGTTTCCCTAATCTGACCATCTCTACGAAAATGTAGTATACGATCATAGCAATAAATGCTATTTTAGTTTACAAATCTGTCAGACCTAGTCTGCCTAATAAATAATCTGTATAGATATCAAATGAGCCAAAAAAATATAATTTCTGTGTAACTAGATACATTATCGTAATTTAGATAAATATTATTTTAATAGCTACCGCCTAAGTTTGAGACCGACGATTATACTTTGATAAGGTATCAGTAGGTATATTATTATTATAAGTGGATTATAAAATGCAATTTTATAACCGCAATGCATTTTATTGTGCACGTATTATGTACATGTTTAGTAAGTGCGGGATGTTTTATTACTGTATGTGCCAAAAATTATAATTTTATTAAAGTAATTAGGTAATGTGACCTATAGAGATTGTCTGCGGTTACTACGAACTAACGAGGTAATGAACTCGTTAAATGTCACCGTTTTTAGGTCAGATATTTAAGAACTAAAGACCTTAGTTTACCAATAAAAATAACGTATAGCAATCAGTCTTTTAATCTAATCAATATAAACATTAATTTTAATTACAATATCATTCACAGTCGGAAATTTGACTTAAACTAAGATATTTAAACTGATACTAATAACTATAATACGACCAAATCGATAGAGACAGCCAAGTTGCATCAAAAATGTAGTCTTTAAGGCCCAGAACAGACGGTGAAACGCAACTGCAACGAAACTGCAACTGCTAGTTACTTTTAAGTTGCATCTAAGTTTCTGCCTTAGCGTCCGTTGAGAGACCACACATGACGCGACCAGTTTGAAACTTTCAGTTTCAGTTTCATTCATCAGAATCATCAGAAAGTTGCAGTTGCGTTTCACCGTCTGTTCTGGGCCTAACTGGTCGAGTGTAGGTAGGTACTCACGTTACAGAAATTGCAACATGTTTTTGAAATAAAATAATTTACCTTAAATGCTGTAGCAGAAAGCACTCGTCATTAGTATCATTGCGCCAAAAACATAATTATAACTATAAAAATATAGATAGATATCGAACAATAGTTAAAACAACTCGTGTTAGTTAACAACACTTTATCACATAAAACTGGGAATTATTTCATTCTAAATATAGAGATAAATCTAGATTCCAGAACCTGTAGGTACACTAATCCATTATGTAGGTACCTACTGCTAAAAGGTAGTATTAATTTATAAAATCACTTTTAATTAACTGTCGTATAAAAAGGAACTCTCTTGAATTCAAACAACCTAGAAAAGTACCCAAATGAGCTTACACTAAAACAAATTATACACACTAGGTAAAGCTGTGTGTTCACTAGGGACAAAATTATAGGTACGCGTCTGACGTTGCTTAGTATTGCCGTCGCCTGACATACCTGACGTCACGAATCCCGGGGCATAACCCCTAGTATACACCAAGCTTAACTATCCCTTCCATCAGAAAAATCACTATATTCTATTACCTAATCCTAACTAAGTATGCTATGGTTTGTCAATAATCTCAAAAGCGCTATCTATCTCCTCATCAGGACTCGTCACAACAGGGCTAGTTTTCTCCTTACAGACCACGGTCACCTGGTTCCCCTGGCCTCGTAGTATGACCTTCCCGCTGTCTGTAGATACCCTGGACTCTCCACTGCGCCGGCGCTGGTTCGTGAATGTTTGGACAGGGGGCGATGCAGGGTTGACGTGGTATTCCACCGATTTCGGCTTTTCGGTTGGGAGATTCTCGCCCTGTAGGAGAAACGTTTGGATATAGTCAAACTCAAAGCTTTTATTCAGTTCTTAGGCTTTTTCTAGGGCGCTTATACACGCCCAAATAGCTTGCTCTCTACCACCAGAGACGAGACAACATTTATTTTATGGGCTGGTGCTAAGAAAAAGTGGCGGAAGAAACTCTAGTCACCTTTCTTCGAGTTAGGAAACAGAAACCAAGAAAAATGAGATGATATTTCTTTTATACAAACAAACAATATTTATAAAGTGCGGGGATCGAAGTCTTCGAACCCGCGACCGCTTATGGCGCAAGTAAACTATGCAGATTGGCCAAGACGTAATGGTATGGACACCATCTCGGTTACTTTCTCCTCTCCTCGCGTGGGTCGCCCATACTTCGGTGTGCGGACTAGCGCTTCGACTTGGACTATTTACCGCATAGTGTACTTGCGCCATTTTACATAGTAGGCTAGCCCCGTACGCGAACCACTCTACCAATCAATCAATCATGTTATTAAAAACTTGTAAAATCTCATCCTAGGCAGACATTTTTTCAAGTTTTTTGTTTATTTTATTGTCTACACTAATATTATAAAGAGGAAAACTTTGTTTGTTTGTTTAGTTGTAATGGATAGGCTCAAAAACTACTGGACCGATTTTAAAAATTCTTTTACCATTCGAAAGCTACATAACTCACGAGTAACATAGGCTTAATTTTATTTTGAAAAAAAAATAGGGTCCCGTAAAATATTTGGGNAAATTTTCACTACGCCCCCCGATGGCCGATGGGGCAGCAAGGTTTTCGAGTGGAGGCCATGTACCGGAAAATGAAGCGTGAGACGTCTACCCGCGTTAAACACCATAAAAGTGCAAAGATGCATGCCGCCACCAACCGGTTAATTTGAAAATCATTGGGGGAGGCCTATGTTCAGCAGTGGACATCCAATGGCTGAAATAATGTTGATGGTGACAAAAGTGACAGTTTCTTCCGCCACTTCTTCTCAACACCGACTGATGTGTTGTCCCGAATTGGTGGTACGACCAAGCTATGGTTGCGGCTTGTATGAGTGCTCCAATAAAAGCCTACCTACTAATTTAATACCTTAGTTATTTAACTGTCCCGAAGTAGTAGCGGGACAAACTTTATTTGGGACGTGTAAAAGTTCCCTCAAAATGGGCTGCATACTAATAAAAAATATGATAATTGTTATTTTTTTGTTTCAGTGTTTTGCAAATTCAGTCCAATCTGCACGACTTGCCAGTGAGTATTTTTAGAATTATCATATTCTAGAAAGAACTGATTATAAGTTTTATCAAGATTCTAATTACGATATGAACGCGTCTCGATCGATATGATATGCTTTATTTTGCTACTGAATTTGTATTTAATTTCAACATAATGAGGGCTATCGTTTTTATACTTAACAGTTGGCACCCCTGGCGATTGACAGGACCTTACTCTACAGTGGCGCCATCTTGATGAGTGCAAATACGATAGTCCTCCTACCACTTTAGCGCTCACCAGTTGGTGCCACTGTCTTCGCTACTAGCAAGTGACAGGACCTTACTCTACAGTGGCGCTAACTGGTGAGCGCTAAAACGATAGCCCTCATTATGATGAGCCTTTTAGTCCAAAAGGTAGTTGAAATCCCTAAGCCTAGGCGCAGACCACCGACTTTTAGTCGGCCGATAGTTGGGCCCGATTTCAATTTGTATGAAGAATCGGCCGATACCAAATCGGTGTAATGTGCGCACTTTCATACATCTCCATACTGATCAACAGCCCGACTCAACTATCGGCCAACTCTAAATCAGTGGTCTGCGCCTAGGCTATAGGGTGTATTAGGAACTTATCTGCCAGATAAATTATTATTTATTTATCTGGCAGATTTCATTCATTATTGAAGAATGAAATGTTATTGGTCATTTAAAACATTTATCCGCACTGCCTTAGTGAAAACCGGGCCTTGGGCTTTTGGAAATTGAAGGATGATTTATTATTATTGCTCATTTATTAAAATTACTTTTCAGTACCGTGTTCAAGATCGGAGGACCTCTGCCCATCAAGCCGAAAAAGAAGAAGATGAAAGTGTAATCCTTACTTATGTACGTAACTGATATTTGTAAATAATATAGGTGATAAGCTATTTTTACTTGACTTGTTTTTTTTTATCGAAATCATTTTTCATAGTTTTTTATATTCACTGGTTGTGTGTCCACTGCTGGTTCAAAAGCTTCTTTCTTTTCCTCTTTGAAGCTAAAATGATGACTGAGAATAATTACACATAATTACGTCGATTAAAAATTAAAATGCGTCCAGTATAGGTCGCTCAACGAAAGTTGAGGCAGAGTAAATACTAATGAGTAGGTCATCTTCATAGAAACGCACCTAGGGCGGTTTGTATGTGAGCGCGCCAATATACGTATGCGGCGCGCACGCACACTGACAAAATTCGGCACAACCACGATAATCCCCGCTAAATTTTGTCAGTGTGTGCGTGCGCGCTGCATACGTATTGGCGCGCTCACATACCAACCGCGCCCGTGCGTTTCTATGAAGATGACCTACTCATTTGTATTTACTCTGGTTGAGGTGAACACTAAAGCTAAGTGTCCACATGTCGGTATCGTACGCATCGGACGTATCGCACGCAACGGATCGTAGTATTATTTATATAGAAACTCATATATAAGTGCGTCCACCTGCCCGCATCGTACGCATCGCACATCCGATACGATGTGTTTCGTACGATGCGTCCGTTGCGTACGATACCTACAAGTGGACGCTTAGCTTTACCCTGCGATAAATATTGCACATCGACCTTTAGAAAGAGACAATCGGCTAATTTCGGTTTCGTAGAGCGTTATCTCTGTCGCTATCTGTTGTTCAAGTGAACAACGACTGACAATGACGTTTTGTCAAAGTGTAAACAAACTTTATTTTAAATGTGTGCAATTGATTTTGTGAATTAAATTGCTAAAATCTTTTTATAGTCGTGAAAGAAAAGTTGTTCACAATGTGTTAAAGTATTTGTCGAAGAGAAATACTAAGGGTTCAGACAATATTTTCATTGAATAATGTTTTGTCAATGACTTTTTGTCAATCGTATAGGTAGTGTGCGACAGAGATAACGCTCTACGAGCCGAAATTAACCGATTGTCTCTTTCCAAAGGTCGATGTGCAATATTTATTGCCGGGTACTGTACTCACACTGATTTGCATATTACAGAACATTAAAGTTTAAATATCGAATACACTAGCTACCTCCCGCTTGTCTGCAAGCGAGACAGAAAGCACTAGTCAGTACGACAGTCAGTCAGCAGTACAGATACAAATCTTTGCTTGTGTTGATGGCCTCAACTCTTATTGAGCGACCTATAACGCAAAGAAGTTAGGCCCGATTCGACCAAACTTTTATCCGAGAATAACTCCTGGCATGTTGACAGTTTCAGTATGGGAAATATTATGTCAAAACTGACTTCATTCTGAGATTAATGTTTGTTTACTCTTGTTTGGTCGAATCCACTCTTATTATGTAACTCAAAATCCTGACACCCGTGTTGTAACGTCAGTCTAAAAAGTCCACATGTTGATTTACATCAAATATAGACTCGCCCTTGTCAGCAGATGTATCAAGTACTACTGATCCTATGATTTAATTAGACCAATAGACTTTCCTGTCTTTATCATTATTGATAAATATCTGAGGTTTTACCCTCAAAAAACTAAAACAATTACTAGGTTTCCCTAATCTGACCATCTCTACGAAAATGTAGTATACGATCATAGCAATAAATGCTATTTTAGTTTACAAATCTGTCAGACCTAGTCCGTCTAATAAATAATCTGTATAGATATCAAATGAGCCAAAAAAATATAATTTCTGTGTAACTAGATACATTATCGTAATTTAGATAAATATTATTTTAATAGCTACCGCCGAAGTTTGAGACCGACGATTATACTTTGATAAGGTATCAGTAGGTATATTATTATTATAAGTGGATTATAAAATGCAATTTTATAACCGCAATGCATTTTATTGTGCACGTATTATGTACATGTTTAGTAAATGCGGGATGTTTTATTACTTTATGTGCCAAAAATTATAATTTTATTAAATTAAGTGGGTAATGTGGCCTATAGAGATTGTCTGCGGTTACTACAAACTAACTAACGAGGTAATGAACTCGTTAAATGTTACCGTTTTTAGGTCAGAATTTAAGAACTAAGGACTTAGGTCTACCAATAAAAAGAAATCTTATAGCAATCAGTCTTTTAATCTAACAATATAAACATTAATTTTAATTACAATATCATTCACAGTCGGAAATTTGACTTAAACTAAGATATTTAAACTGATACTAATAACTATAATACGACCAAGTCGATAGAGACAGCCAAGTTGCATCAAAAATGTAGTCTTTAAGGCCCAGAACAGACGGTGAAACGCAACTGCAACGAAACTGCAACTGCTAGTTACTTTTGAGTTGCATCTAAGTTTCTGCCATAGCGTCCGTTGAGAGACCACACATGACGCGACCAGTTTGAAACTTTCAGTTTCAGTGTCATTCATCAGAATCATCAGAAAGTTGCAGTTGCGTTTCACCGTCTGTTCTGGGCCTAACTGGTCGAGTGTAGGTACTAAATCACGTTACAGAAATTGCAACATGTTTTTGAAATAAAATAATTTACCTTAAATGCTGTAGCAGAAAGCACTCGTCATTAGTATCATTGCGCCAAAAACATAATTATAACTATAAAAATATAGATACAAGTAGATATCGAACAATAGTTAAAACAACTCGTGTAAGTTAACAACACTTTATCACATAAAACTGGGAATTATTCCATTCTAAATATAGAGATAAATCTAGATTCCAGAACCTGTAGGTACACTAATCCATTATGTAGGTACCTACTGCTAAAAGGTAGTATTAATTTATAAAATCACTTTTAATTATACGACAAAAGGAACTCTCTCGAATTCTAACAACCTAGAAAAGTACCCAAATGAGCTTACACTAAAACAAATTGTACACACTAGGTAAAGCTGTGTGTTCACTAGGGACAAATGACACACCACACGCGAGTAGCCTACGCCAGTAAAACGGAAAAGTAGCTTGCATATGCTTGTTAACGATACGAGCAAGTAACTGGTGCTATGGATACACTTGTATGCAATTTGCATCCATGCCTATGCCTCTATTTTCAACTAAAAAAATCCGATCAAATGTGTGTTTCTTGTTTCCGTCTTCCATACATTTAGTACTATTATAGTCATAGCACTCATCTCTTCATAATATTATAGCAAGTAAAGCCTAAAACTAATGTTTTCCACAAATAATTTTAAATAAGATGCAAGTTACGAGTTTATTTAACCGACTTTTTAAGTTTATTATTTAACAAAAAATAAATTACACTTCTAATATTGTGTCGTTGGCATACATTTAGTATGGAAGCTGGAAACATTGAATTTTCGGATAGTTCCAGTTTATTCTGTAACTTGATATTGATACCGTTGGATAGAGCTCGTGAAGCACTGTTAGGACTTTTAGCACCTTGGTAGCAATTATGCCAGCTAGCGTACACAATGGCAGTTGATTACTTACAACTGGTATGGTACTTTAACCCCTAGTGTACACCAAGCTTAACTCTCCCTTCCATCAGACATTTTATCATTATTTCCTAATCCTAACCAACTATGCTAAGGTTTGTCAATAATCTCAAAAGCGCTATCTATCTCCTCATCAGGACTCGTCTCAACAGGGCTAGTATTCTCCTTACAGACCACGGTCACCTGGTTCCCCTGGCCTCGTAGTATGACCTTCCCGCTGTCTGTAGATACCCTGGACTCTCCACTGCGCCGGCGCTGGTTCGTGAATGTTTGGACAGGGGGCGATGCAGGGTTGACGTGGTATTCCACCGATTTCGGCTTTTCGGTTGGGAGATTCTCGCCCTGTAGGAGAAACGGTTGGATATAGTCAAACTCAAAATAAATAAATAATAAATAAATAAATCTTTGGACAATTTCACACAGCGCCAGCTAGCCCCAAAATAAGCAACTTAATGCTTGTGTTATGGGTGCTAGCTTAACGGGTATACTACTTATATACTTTTTTTTTTAAATACATAAATATTATACATAGTCACACCCAGACCCGTCACAGAAATTAAAATTCATCATTTCAATTTCTGCCCGGCCGGGAATCGAACCCGGGACCTCTCGGCATAGTAGTCCGTTCTGAACCACTACACCAAACGGCCGACAAAAGCAGCAAAAGCAAAAGCTTTTATTCAGTTCTTAGGCTTTTTCTAGGGCGCTTAATACACGCCCAAATAGCTGGCCCTACCACCACTTCGAGACAACATTGGGCTGGTGAGAAGAAGTGGAGGAAAAAACTCGAGTCACCTTCCTTCGAGTTAAGAAAGAGAAACCAAGAAAAATGAGATGATTTTTATTTTAAACAAACAATGTTTATAAAGTGCGGGGATCGAAGTCTTCGAACCCGCGACCGCTTATGGCGCAAGTACACTATGCAGATTGGCCAAGACGTAATGGTGTGGACACCATCTCGGTTACTTTCTCCTCTCCTCGCGTGGGTCGCCCATACTTCGGTGTGCGGGCTATCGCTTCAAATTGGACAATTTGCTGCATAGTGTACTTGCGCCATTACATAGTAGGATAGCCCGGTACGCGAACCACTTTACCAAAGGCACAGAATAAGTAATAGTAAGGGTCAATCATGTTATTAAAAACTTGTAAAATCTTACCCGAGGCAGACATTTTTTCAAGTTTTTTGTTTATTTTACTGTTGTTTAATAAACTAGTTAACTTAGTACGTATGTACCTACGTGATTAACTGATTACGTGACATGTAATAAAAAGTGTCGGCACTTTGATATCATAGTTGTTGACTGTTGTTCCATAATAAATGCATATCAGCTGATAAACATCGTGCATGATGCGTGCGCGCCGGTAGGAATATTGTTAGGTTGTTATTTTACTTTATTAATTTACTGTCGGATAGAGTTTTCTGGAAGTCTGATTTGGATTTTACAGTGGCTTTTTTTTCATAAAAGAATACATAATTACTTTTTAAGTAAGTATATAGTGTTTTACCGAATTTGTAGTCCTACAGACAGAGAGTCCTACTACTCCAATCTAACTATAAATTGGTGTCCAAACTTTTGCAGACTTAAACCAAACTTTCAATGCTATGATTTCGTGATGCGGACAGCAAAGAACACAAACGGAAGAATTCAATAACATGGTAGGAAACGGAGGTCTTTCATTTTTAAATGGGCTTTTTAATATCAAGATTGACACTGTCTACAAGTATCTCTGTTCAATAGCATAATTTACAGGAGCTGGAAGATACCGAGAGACCGTATGTTGCGATATTCTATAAGGAAGACCTATGCACAGTGGCAATAGCTCGTAGAGACGATGGCCGTTGGGGCAGAAAAGTTCTCGAGTGGCGACCACGGGCTGGAAGACGTAGCGTGGGCAGGCTTCCGACTAAGTGGACCGACGATCTGGTAAAGGTCGCGGGAAGAGCCTGGATGCGGGCAGCGCAGGACCGTTCATTGTGGAAAACCTTGGGGGAGGCCTTTGTCAAGCAGTGGACGTCATTTGGCTGAAACGAACGAACGATGCACAGCACAGTGGACTGAAATGATGACCATATAATAAAAACAATTTCTTACATCAGCTCCATAGATTTCCAAGCTCAAAGACAGCCGCTTCTTCTGAGCCTGTCTCATCCTCCCAGACCGGGATATGGACAGCTTCCTCCTCCCATCAAGCGGAGGGTCCGTTCTGTCCTCCTCACTGCTACCCTCATAGCTGACCGTCCTTCGGGTCTCGCTCGGCTGGAATATAGACTTTATGTACTTGGCCATAGCGATCGAAATCTATCGCAATATTATCTGTACATCGTCGGTTACCTGAAACAAATGAGTAAATGAATCGGTTCAGCCTTTCAGAACACGCCGAAATAAGCACGTTTTCATAACTGATCTTCCGTCTTAGGTCCACCAAGATCTAATCACAAGGGAAACACTAACACTATACTGAAATACTACATGCTTTGAGACCGCTACGATTTATATCGTTACTTAGTTAACTAGTATATTTATATGGATGTAGTTAGAATAGTAGAGACGGATTCATCACACACGTGGTTACACCTGCCTCTTTCATTTTCCTACATTAATTAACTTACTTTTCAGGTAAACGTATCCGAAATTGTTAGATAACTGATTGAATTTTAATGTACAATGTAAGTTAGACGTGATCGTCTACCTATTACCTCCCAGCATCAGCTAAGAAGATCTCGTATTACCTGAAGTCAAAATATTATTGGCAGGTAGTTCCTAATTGCTCATAAGATAGGCCCCCTTACTTAATTGATATTTATTGTCCGTGGTGCATAATCTTTTCTTGAAAGGTTTTAAACCTTTGTTTGTCACCTGTCATCCGCTTTGCAATGGAGGGAAGTCGAACCTTAATTTCGAACTCCTCCTATGTTCTATTAATTTCGTTGCGGGTCCAATGACAGTTTAACTTTCCCCCGGGACAAACTTGACCTTCATTGGTTTGGTTTTTATGACGGTCAAGCTGTAGATCCTGGCTACACAGGAGTTGCAGTGGTGGGAACGAGAGGTGGGAACAGTCTTGTATTACCTGAAGTCACTATTCCATCAAATCTGTCGCTACATTTACCGTAGTTGATTTCATTATGAATTTATTACCGAAAATATCCTGATTTCTCTGCATTGTAGAGTCTACAAGACTATTTTTTACGCTCAAGTAGGTATATAACGCACAAGAAAATTAGCATAAACATACCCAAATAAAGCGAATTTAGGTACACATCAAAAGATCTATCCGAAGGTCGTAAAACAATCTACCCTCGTCATATCGCCGATAAACACCTTAACAACGAAAGCGTACTTACTTGCTTCTAATAACAAGTCTATTAACACTTCCTCTGCCGATATGCACCTTTTGCAAACGATAACGCACTGCGCGAAACACAAATAAAGACTGCATGCATTGTACATTTTGCCAACCATAATTTCATCTCAGGATAAGATAAGCTTATCAATTGTTTCTTGCGATAGTAAATTAGTTTATCGTTATCAATTTTAATGATGCTCAGCCTTTTGATTTGGCGATACTGTTTTGTTTTTTAATTCGCGGTAAATAAACTGATTATGTATTTGGGTCGGCAATAAATGTTGAATTTCGGTTACGTGCTGGATAAAAATATTCTTTTGTTATAGATTTTTATTACAAATTAGTTTATTGTCCACTTACTGACTTCACTCGCACAAATCCTTAGGAAATCCACTTTTAAAACTGCTGTTATATTGCTATTTAAAACACTACCAAAATTCGCGAATTTGCTTCTAACATCACGTCTATCGAAATATTAACTAACTTAACTAAATTGTTGGTACAAAAATCACACAGAATTTGAATGTAAAATTGTACAAAAATGTAAACCTTGAACTTTTTTTACGTCAAATATTCGTTTGCATATTACGCGAAAAAATAGCAATCGCAAATAATTAAAACAATCTCATTTACATATCTGTGTACCTACCTATTGTGCACCCACACAGTATACAGGGTGTTAGTTAGGTAAATGGGTATATGAGCCGACACTAGCCCATGTTAACATGGGCATATAAATGGTATGGTGAAGACAGAAATTTCATATCATCATTTAATTTTCATATAAAATAAAATCCGATTTGTATGAAAATTTAAATAATTTAAATGAAGATATCAATTTTCTGACTTCACCATACCAATTATATGCCCATATTAACATGGGCTAGTGTCGGCTCATATACCCATTTCATTTACCTAACACCCTGTATTTTTTAGGTTTGTCAGTCCTGTGTACCAAATATGATACAAAAAAATCATTTTAACCTCCATAGTTCTTTTTCCTATTGTACAGTGGCGGACTTATTATAGTGCCAGGTGGCATTTAGATGTTCTCTGTCAGTCAACCACAGGTCAAGCAGAGAAGAAAAAATCAAAAAGGAATGGGTAAACAATTAATTGAAAGACGTGTAATTAATAAAAAATATTTATATTCGTTTTAAAATGTACAATAATAGACAAAGTTAAAAGTTCGCGATATCTACAAAGTCGCTTCCATAGAGCTAGATACAAACGACTAGCACTGCCTCTCGTGACTACCGACCGACGATTATGAAACCACGCTCAAGTGTGAACTCAAGATCAGACTTAAACCTGTGATCAGTATAAAATAACCGATAATAGCCCCTGGACCATAACCCGAAGATTCACACATTCGCATATACTTCGATGCTTTTTTTGTATATTCGCGAGATTTCGCTACTCTGTCAAATCAATGTCGCCCGAACGTTATCGCGATGTGTGGCCAGGGGTATACTTTTTCATGTTCAATTTTAGGTTCTCACTAAAGTTCATGTCTATTTAGATATTGAAATTAACTCAAGTTTAAATCAATGCTTGAGCTTGAATTAAGCGTCTTTCATAATACAAAACTTAGTATCAACACCTCCAGTAACATAATTATTATAGTACTGGGTTGGGTTTCTTAAAATTTAAATGTATCATATATGTTACAGGGTGTATTGATACTTAATCGTCGATACATATATGTTCAGAAGACATACAAGAAAAATAATATTAACATACGAATAAAAAAGAAGAAATAATACACCCAAAAACTTCCTAATTGAGTATTCCTAAGAACACCGTTAACGCCATCTATACTAAGTTTCCTTCAGATATTGTCAATTGTTATTTGTATGCGAAAACGATCGGCGTACAATAAAATGAAATAGAGAAAAAAACAGAAAGAACACAAGTTCGTAGTCACAAGTACATAAAGAACCAAAATAATTACAAACTATACAATTTCACGTTAACATCAAAATACAGAATTTAGTTTGCGCCAACCATTAAAAGATGACAGCGCGAATATAATCATTAAGGTGAGTATATACTAGAACATTTCTATGTAATGTCACGTTCCTACGAATGGTACAATACAGGTAAAATGTACGACGTTTCGTCATAAAAAGCATTTCTGTTACAAGTAAATGCTCTAATCTACACTCACCTTTACACTAAAGCTAAACTAAAATTAAACTGAACACACCGGTAAAGCCGTATTTTCAAAAACAGTGTATTGTAAGTATATTTAATGGGCATTTTAATCAATTCCTTCGTATTTAAATTTACAACGAATCAGCTAAATTAACTATAGCTACATCTTCTAAGTATTTTCTAACTATGCCTTTATCTTTTTCAATATTTAAATCCAAGAACTTGCAATTTTGAACGTTATTTATTTTCAATTAAAAATCACGGCTGTATAGTGATGGCAAGATATGTCATAGACTTGATGATCAGTCTTATGTCCACTAGATAAGTAACTGCTAAAAATAAACCACAAAGTTACATAATAAAGTGAGCGTCAAATAGTTCGTGACACCCAAAGTGGCCAAAAAGTTGACAACACAACCTTATTCTAATGAGGGCTATCGTTTTTATACTTAACAGTTGGCACCCCTGGCGATTGACAGGACTTTACTCTACAGTGGCGCCATCTTGATGAGTGCAAATACGATAGTCCTCCTACCACTTTCGCGCTCACCAGTTGGTGCCACTGTCTTTGCTACTAGCAAGTGATAGGACCTTAGTCTACAGTGGCGCTAAGTGCTCATTGTAACAAAGACGTGCTGCGATCTTTTTGGCTACTTTTTTGACGCTAATTGTCACAAAACAACGGTATATAACTTATTGCTTTTAACCCTTGCATTTTTAAACATTGTTGTTATATTCACAAAAAAATCATCATCATTCAGCCCCCCTAGACAAAACGCACTTTTTGATCGAATCGAAAATCGAATCCGTCAAAACTCCATACAAATTAACTTTTTAAAAAAATAAAACCGACTTCAAATGCGTGAACACAAAAAAAAACTAAAAATTAAAAATATTGCGTATAAAAAAGTTCATCCCCAATTTTCCACCCTTGGGGGTGAAATATTTTCTTCAAATTCGCATGAAACCACCCTCTTGATAATACCTATTCAACAAAAAAAGAATCGTTCAAATTGATTTATAATCGGCGGAGATATTGCGTATAAAAAAGTTCATCCCCAATTTTCCACCCTTGGGGGTTGTTTTTTCTATTATTAAATTAAAATGGGACCACCCTTTAAGTATTACCTATACGCCGAAAAAAGATTTTTTCANCTAGACCCACAGGTCACGCTTGCCAAATGACAGATGTCAAATTTGATTGCTCAAGTCCCTTTTCTATTCTTCTGCTAATCCTGCTATATTTTATTGCTATATTATATTTGACATAGTGTATTTTAGTATTACAGCAGGGATATTGTCCATTTTACGTTGGATAGTATAACGGATAGCTACCAAAAAGGCGTATGTATACTTTATGATACAATTGACAGTACCATGTATCAAACAACTATAAACTATGTCTACTTTTGAACTTTTATATCTTTAGCACCTAGCGAATTTGTAATATTAGAAATATTGAAACGATTCAAAGAAGAAAGGCTGCAAAAGCAAAAGTACATTTGCGTTAAATATTTACAATAAATCGAGAATTAGGAAATTTAAAGTTAACAACATTACTCTTCTTTTTTTAGTAGGACGAAACGAGAAAGTATGTTAAGTAGGATACTAAACTTATTTACGTAATCATCACAATCTTAAAATATCTATAATTTAGTACAAACAGCATTATAAATTCAAGGGACAATCCGCACACAAAAATGAGAAAACTGAAAAACAACTCTCGCTGAGGCTTATTAGAGTCTACTTTGGATTAGCCAATTGCAATTTTGCAGTTGTCAGGCAGTTCAAATGTAGTCATACAGTCAGCGTCAAATAGTGACACCCAAAGTGGCCAAAAAGTTGACAACACAACCTTATTCCAATAAGGGCTATCGTTTTAGCGCTCACCAGTTGGCGCCACTGTAGAGTAAGGTCCTGTCACTTGCTAGTAGCGAAGACAGTGGCGCCGGCTGGTGAGCGCGAAAGTGGTAGGAGGACTATCACATTTGCGCTCATCAAGATGGCGCCACTGTAGAGTAAGGTCCTGTCAATCGCCAGGGGTGCCAACTGTTAAGTATAAAAACGATAGCCCTCATTGTAACAAAGACGTGTTGCGAACTTTTTGGCTACTTTGGGTGTCACGAACCATTTGACGCCGACTGTTACAAGGGATAGTTACTTTAGTTGTCTACATTTTTGTGCACGGCTTACAAATAGTTTTGGATAAAGCAATTTTAACACTCTAAATTTTAATCTAATGAATGACATTTTTAGAACAAAGCATCTCGAGGGCCAGTTTACATGAAAACGTACATTTTTACAATCGTCAGGAAATCACAACTAAATGTTAATTTTATCCAACGAATTTTGAACTGTATGACTTCAGAATAAGTTTCAAAATCAACTGAGCTGATGTCATTTTGTGGTTAGATGTGGCTCTATCCGTCTCTCTCACTTATCCTGATTATTCAGAACGAGAGAAAGGGATAAGAGTCGTATTTTCAATTCATTTGCAGAGCAATTATCAAATACCATGACATCATGTCTTTTTTTTTCTCTGTATCTCCATTCAATTTATTTCTTTATAGATTTAATGTGCATGCTACTAAACTAGCGCATCTTGAAATTAATTTATTTATTTATATTAAATTCCTCAAAATGGTACAATGTCAGTTGGTAAACGTCCCGATGTAAACTGCCCACATTCTACAACTACCCTACGCTATAATATCTATTCTCCTCACGATGAAAGGCACTCCGTAGATTCTTTACAACAATTTATACAGTGACAGTTTGACAGACATTCTTAACTTAATACATCGTTATTTTTTGACAAAAATACAGTTTGTTAATAAAGACATAGGTAGTTCCAGATTTTTCCACCGAGTAATTGTGGCGCTGTATATTTGAAGACTCAAAAGTGCATGAAACATACGTTTTATTTTTAGAAATGAGCGTTTAACAATTTAAATTATGTACTTATTATGATAAAAATACATTACATTTAAATTGTGTTGTTAAGTAAGCAAACTTCAGTTTTTGGTATTGATTTTATAATGTACTAGCATATTAATTATTCTTTTGCTTCTAAATAATCATTTTTGATGGTGTGGTGTTGCTAAGAGTACATATTTAATCAAAAACATGCTGGAAACCGAATTTAAATAAAATAGACATTAAAAACAAATTACATTAAGCTCATTATCATTATTTTTAATTGAGTGAAGAACATTGGCCTCTATTTACAATTCCGACTAAGACAAGTTCAAGTACTAGTTATTAAGATGTACTTACAACGTTCACATTTACATTTGAATAAATTTCCATACAAAAATCAAAACAATCACAAATTCCAACGTCAAATTTATGTCAATGTACTGTCAAGTGTCAGCGATTTTTGCTAAGGACCGGCGCAGACGACGTAATTTTGTCAGTCGATATTTGTAGGGTTCTGTTCCTAAAGTCCGGTCGCGGTCGCCGAGCACGTAGAATTTCGTCCAATGACCCCAAGCTACCCATCCTTATCGCTCGCACGTAGTGAGTGTGCGAGCGCGACAGCAATAAGAATGGGTAGCTTGGGGTTATTGGACTAAATTTTACGTGCTTGGCGACCGGACTATAGATAGTGCCAATGGGTAACAAAATTCTCAAATCGTCTGTCGGTCTGTGAGCTATATCTCATGAATCATTATGTAGGTAGACAAAACAAAATGAAAAATGAAAGGGGCGGATAGATGGCGCTTATTAGAATTAAGCTGTTATTTTAAAATGTGTTTCGTAATAGTGCGAAGGTTTTCGTGATGCCTAACTTTTTAGTTAAGGCAATCTGATACCTAGGTCATAAAATTCGGTTTTACCATTAGTCAATAATTTCCATAACTGAACTTATATGGTCAGAAACTACAAGTTTTGGCGTCACAAGTCTTCGGTAAGCAGAAACCTTTATTTGTTAACTCGCGTTACATACAGTCTCAAATAGTTAGTGACAAAGTAGCGAATAGTTCGCAACACGTCTTTGTTTCAATAGACAATTTGACACCATTCCCCAAAAATTCAAAATCACAACTTTTCAAAATCAAAAATATTTATTCAGTGGCATTTATGAACGTCAAATATAAAAAAAAAAGAAAAGGTAGCCCTTATGGGGCACTTTACATGTCTCCTTATCTTATTCTAATTAACTTTTTAAAAAAATAAAACCGACTTCAAATGCGTGTACACNCGTTAAATCTACTAGTGATAATGTTAATTGTAAGGAAATAGATACAACTTTAGGGAAGAATAACCAACAGGTAATTGAACATTCTGAGCAACCACTTGATCTGATATCAAAGAAGATAAAAAATAAATACATATAAAATTCAAATTTTTGCGTCATCTATGTTTTGAAGTTAGATGATTCTGTCTCTACCGATTCTGACTCATCAACATCAGCTCAAGAAATATTTGATAATATAGTTATTAGTTAATAAGGCCAAACGCAATTTATTTTGAAATTTTGAAGACTGTACTACTAGAATTTAAGTTTAATGTTTTGTTTTGTTTATTTAAAGCCTATTTTGTCATTTTAAAATTGATTATTTTGTTTTAAGATACTGGGCAATTACTGTGCTTTGATGTGGGCAATTAGTGTAAGTAATGGGCAATAACTGTACTTTTTGGAGGATTTAAAATTTATTTCAATATTTTGTAAGTTACGTAAGTTTTAACTAAAAACTGTTAATATTCTGTTTAACAGTTTATTGAGTTATAAGAAAAAAGTCATGATTGGTCGATAATTAAAATACTTTCTTTAATTTTTCATCTCAATGTTTTTGAAATCCTTAAGTGGGCAATAGCTATATGGTTTACCCTACTTACAACGTTCATATTTACATTTGAATAAATTTCCATACAAAAATCAAAACAATCACAAATTCCAACGTCAAATTTATGTCAATGTACTGTCAAGTGTCAACGATTTTTGCTAAGGACCGGCGCAGACGACGTAATTTTGTCAGTCGATATTTGTAGGGTTCTGTTCCTAAAGTCCGGTCGCCGAGCACGTAGAATTTCGTCCAATGACCCCAAGCTACCCATCCTTATCGCTCGCACGTTGTGAGTGTGCGAGCGCGACAGCAATAAAATTACGTGCGAGCGATAAGAATGTAGCTTGGGGTCATTGGACGAAATTTTACGTGCTCGGCGACCGGACTATAGATAGTGCCAATGGGTAACAAAATTCTCAAATCGTCTGTCGGTCTGTGAGCTATATCTCATGAATCATTATGTAGGTAGACAAAACAAAATGAAAGGGGCGGATAGATGGCGCTTATTAGAATTAAGCTGCTATTTTTTAAAATGTGTTTCGTAATAGTGCGAAGGTTTTCGTGATGCCTAACTTTTTAGTTAAGGCAATCTGATAGGTCATAAAATTATGTTTTACTATTTGCCGACAATTTCCATAACTGAATTTATATGGTCAGTCAGAAACTACAAGTCTTGGCTTCACAAGTCTTCGGTAAGCAGAAACCTTTATTTGTTAGCTCGCGTTACATACAGTCAGCGTCAAACAGTTCGTGACAAAGTAGCGAATAAGTTCGCAACACGTCTTTGTTTTAATAGACAATTTGACACCATTCCCCAAAAATTCAAAATCACAACTTTTCAAAATCAAAATATTTATTCAATGGCACTTATGAACGTCAAATAGAAAAAAAAAGAAAAGGTAGCCCTTATGGGGCACTTTACATGTCTCCTTATCTTATTCTAAAAAGACACTTCATTCTGGTCTTAAAAATTTGAGTAAACAAAATAGTGACGTCACTTGCTTGTAGTGCCATACAAAATCTATAGGAGTTTCGTTTTGACAGTTTTAAAAAGTACGTCAATTGTTTGGTGGTGTCAACACGTCTATTGGAACAGTGGCGGCGTAGCATGGGTTGGCACCCGGCGCGATAACCCCCTGTCATAAGTCCTAAGGCACCCCCTGGTACCCCCCAGGATTTTGGGGTTACCTACCGATTCGAAGATTGAAAGACAATCAATCGCACATCTTATTATACTTTGGTCACTTCAGGTGTCACGAACTATTTGACGTTACACAAGTGTCAGATAACTATCTGAACCTTTGTCAGGCACCAGTCAAACTTGATCACAAATTCAATGGACAAAAAACTGTCGACTGCGCATCCCTTAAGCTACACGCCCATACGAACGTCCAATCATTTATTCCATACAAAAAGACATACATAAAACTTAAACGACCTGTTCTGAATCATCCCTAGTGCTGGAAACGGCGTCTGTGGTGGTGTTACTCCTGTAAAGTTTCAGGTTCGATTCCGTGTAGTCTAAGATCTTTCTGCTGGAATGCCTGATGTAGAGCATCTGTTTGTGGTAGATTTTTAGGGCTCCCTTTATGGTGATGTACGTAAGTCCTCCTAGTATTGTCCTGGAAATAAGTACAATTGGTTATTCATTATTTTTATACAAACAGTCAAGCTTTAGATCCTAGCTATGAAGGAGTCCCAGCGGCAGGAAGGAATGGTGGTACTAGTTCATTTCATTTTTACACAGGTCACACCAGGATTTCTAAGAAGGGTCCATCCATAGCACGTAGGCAAAGATAAAAAGGTTCAAGATGATAAAAAGGTTCAAGATGAGCAGTTACTGTCTCGTTAAACAATATCTTCCAATGTTGGGCATATGAATCAGCCTCCAAAAAGTATTTCATCCTTATATGTTTTGCTGATTGGTGCAAATTAAAATTAAATTAACATTAACATAGTAAGTAAACACAGTTCCAGCTACCTATTTCCGTTTTTTCTGTCGCTCTCATCAAATAGTAATTCTTTGCGATAGAACGAGACGATATGACTGGAAATGTTATACAGTCCTCTCAACTTTAGCTGAGAATTGCATTTGTGTGAGTGCACACCGATAGTGTAGAGTGGCAATCGGCTTGAAGCGCGGCGCGCGTCCCGCGCATGGTTTAAACCGGTTTATTTATAGCAAGCGGCCTGAAGCGCGGCGCGTCCGCCACGCACCGCTTCCTTGCCGCTCACATACTTCACCTCACCCCCGGTACTGGTAGCAGATACGTGTAATTGTGTTCCAAATATTAGTGAAATGGCTCCTACTGTAAGTGAATTTCCTGTACGAAATCCATTAAGCAGCCAAGTGAAAGATATTTTATGCAAATTGAATACGTATTTTAAAGGTGTGAACGAAAAGTTTTTAGTCTGTTTTTATTTTGTAATTTTATAAAGTTTGTCTTTTTGTTGTATTTTGTAAGGCTGGCTGGACGCCCTCTCTATAAACGGTGCTCGCAGAATATCAGCGTCGAGGTACTTCGTGCCTTGGCATATGCTGAGCGAGGACCTGTTTTTATTTATTTATTTATTTAAAAGGATGTGTCAAGTGTCGTTACATCGGCCCAATTGGTAGCAAGTTATTTATAGACTTCCTTTTAATAAAACATTAATTTTATTTGTATGTGTTTTACTAACGGTACTTTTGGCGATCACTCACACAAATGCAATTCTCAGCTTAAGTTGATAGGACTGTAGTTGTTGCAACTCACGAAGGCGAGTGAGCTTTACATGTGGCTCGATACTGTTCGTTTTTGTTAAAGTTTTGATAGACGTTGACATTACACTATCGTTATGTGTATGTACACGTACACACACAAGTAAAGCTCACTCGCCTTCGTGAGTTGCAAGAACTATAACATAATAAATATAACTGAAACTGTGGCCCACTGTGCATATTTCTGTAATCAAGTAAAAAATAAACATACCTATGCAAGTTATTTTGTATGGACCGGAAGAATATTTTTCCGATGATGGTGGATATGGTGGGCAGGAGGAGCGCGGAACAGAATATCCTCGTAGGGGAGAGGTGGGAGCTCGCGTTTGGATTCTGGTTGTTCGGTTGTCCCGGCACCACTGCTCCCCTGTCTCCTTCCACGCTGGAATAATAAACAATACTGTTTAGTGGAAAACATAAAGAAGGTAGTGACGAGATATAAACAAGTATGAGTCGGATAGTAATTAAAATTGGAAATATTGACCGATCAGTTCGGAAGAGTGAGCCATATTGCTCGCGTTCGTTTGCATGTTCGCCGTTCGCTCGCGAACTTTAGACAAATACCTTAGAGTATTCACCTCTACGGGAGGAGTACCCTACATTTTGGCGCTGATCAGCGTCACCGGGATCGAAAGAGAACCTTATGAACAACTGCGTAAGACTCACTTTCCAAACGGCAGTTTATCAGGGTCACCGGAATCATCTTCAAGACTAAAGAGGCCCAGAAGCTAAATGATAAAGAGAACCTTATGAACAGCCACACACGACTCACTTTTCAAATAGCAGTTTAGCAGTATATCAGCGTCACCGGGAACATCTACAAGATTGAGTACCTTCAGCTAAATGACAAAAGGAACCCTATGAACAGCTACATAAGACTCACTTCCCAAACGGCAGTATGTAGGACAGCGCGGGCACTTTCGCGCAGTACTTCCTAAGGAACAGCAGTACGGAGTCCTCCCAGTTGTACATCTTGGCGCTGATCAGCGTCACAGGGATCGAAAGAGAACCTTATGACCAGCTACGTAAGACTCACTTTCCAAACGGCAGTATATCAGGGTCACCGGAATCATCTTCAAGGACTAAGAGGACTAGCAGCTAAATGATAAAGAACCTAAAGACCAGCTACATAAGACTCACTTCCCAAACGGCAGTATATCAGTCACCAGGAATGTCATCAGGACTAGTGGACCAGCAGCAAAATGATAAAAGGAACCCTATGTATAGCTACGTAAGAGTTACTTCCCAAACGGCAGTATGTAGGACAGCGCGGGCACCTTCGCGCAGTACTTTCTAAGGAACAGCAGCACGGACTCCTCCCAATTGTGCATCTTGGTTACCGGGATCGAAAGAGAACCTTAAGAACAGCTACGTAAGACTCACTTCCCAAACGACAATGTATCAGCGTCACCGGGATCGTCATCAGGGCTAAAAGAAGACCAGCGGCTAAATGACAAAAAGCCTTAAGAACAGCAACGTAAGACTCACTTTCCAAACGGCAGTATATCAGCGTCACCAGAATCGTCGGCAGGATTATAGGTCCAGCATCTAACTAAATGATAAAAGGAACCTTAAAACCAGCTACATAAGACTCACTTCCCAAACGGCAGTATGTAGGACAGCGCGGGCACCTTCGCGCAGTACTTCCTAAGGAACAGCAGTACGGAGTCCTCCCAGTTGTACATCTTGGCGCTGATGAGTGTCACCGGGATCGAAAGAGAACCTTAAGACCAGCTACGTAAGGCTCACTTCCCAAACGGCAGTGTATCAGCGTCACCGGAATCGTCGGCAGGACTAAGAGGAGCAGCAGCTAAATGATAAAAGGAACCTTATGAACAGCTACGTAAGGCTCACTTTGTGGCAGTATATCAAGCGTCACCAGGATCGTTGGCAGGATTAAAGGACCAGCAGCTTAGTGATAAAAGGAGCCCTATGAACAGCTATGTAAGACTCACTTCCCAAACGGCAGTATGTAGGACAGCGCGGGCACCTTCGCGCAGTACTTCCTAAGGAACAGCAGTACGGAGTCCTCCCAGTTGTACATCTTGGCGCTGATGAGTGTCACCGGGATCGTGGGCAGGAGGACTAGCAGCACCAGTGGGTCGGCTGACTCCATCATCTCTAGCCCTTCTCTGTGGCCGACCACCTGGAAATAACAATAAAGATATTCACTCTCATGACTTATGAGACTTGAACTTTTCTAATGTGTTCTTCCGATTAATATCGTCGCAGGCAGGTCTAAATTGGACTTCACTGGTTGTTTTTTTAGCTTAGCGCTTGTACGTTCACCGGTACACATTTTGTTAAAAATCGTTTCTATTAAACCTACATAGGATATCATAGTGGTGGTGACCGCCCCGGGTGCCAACCCATGCTACGCCGCCACTGATTATTTCCATAGGACATTTAATATGGAACAGTATCGAAATAGTGATCAACGCGAGTTCAACTTTTTGTCATAAGGAGGATTTTGTTTAGCAGAACCCAATGTGAACTTTTCAACGACTCCACAGAACAAACACAAAAAATAAGTAGGTACCTTATTTGCTCATGTCATGTTTATTTAGTCCAAAATACTGGTCCAATTATGTCAATAAAAAAACTATTGACTAATTTATTATTTAAACATAGTGTGCCAAAACTGAACCGGTTTCCAAAAGCAGCCTATCAAACGGCGAGTGCGACCACACGACACGCGCGAAGGCGTTTCGCAATAGAAAGTGAGAAAGTCGGATGAAGAGGAACTGTTACATAAATTGCGTCAAATTGTTACGAAATATCATTTAAGATCATATAGAAGCGATATGGGATTAAATTAGTAATGTTTGTTGCATTTTAAGGTCGTTTTAAGGACATTATTTCGACGTTAGCAGAGCAGAAGTACCTACACTGAAAGCACTAGTTCTACTAATCAATAAGCCAACGTTTGCTAAGTAGGCACTGCCCAATTGCGATTGCCTCCCTTAGGCCTTCTTATTGCAGGTTATTGTCGATTTGCCACAGAATCGATACGTCACGAAAAACTTTGTGGCGAATCGACAGTGACCCATTATTGCATACACATTACATAGAATTAGTTAAGTCCAAGTCTGTGAAAGTAATAAGGCGATAACCACCATTAGGGTTGCTACAGTCCACAAGACAAACGATATGGAAAACAAAATCATACTTTCTATATCTTTTTAAACACCAGTCGACACGGTCAGCAGTGGCTGGCAAACTGATAATTTGTTACAACAAATACACAGACTTGTGAATTCTACAGTTCAATGCTTACGAATGTCATTTTTAGGACGAAAGGCGTGAACACACTCATTGTGTTTCACTCGGTGATTGATCCTCATTCAGTTTTCAGATCTGGTGAGTGATGACTGATGACATTGAAATACGTTTGTGTTGATAAATAAGATGGTTAGATAATATTATTACAGAAAGAAAAACTTTAGAGTCTTGGTATTAAGATTGGATGGGTTAATTTTTCTCTTTAATTTGGTCCTGAAAAACACTACCTATGACCTATTATTGCAAAAAACACGTAGGGGCAGAGCACTTTCTACGAAGAACTGCCTATATTCAGCAGTAGACCTCCTGAGGCTGAAATGATGATAATAACTTGTAGGGAATTAATTAGAGCTTGAAAGTAAACAGTTACATGGGGAACCATAATTTTTCAAGACCAACTTCATTGCAATGTTGGAAATGGAAAAAAATTTTTTTTTGATTTCGACGGCCGTTACATGCATGAGACGATGATCATAGACATTTTGTGAAAGACAGGCAAAGCCGTTGCTGGAAGCTAGTGGTAATATGCTGAAATTACCACGATTGCAGTTTATTTTAAACCGCAGCCAAAGCTAACCGTACCTAAGCCGGTATTCACAAACATTGACGCAGAGGGTGACACACGAACCAATCACAGAGCTTTATTCAACGCTGTGCGTTCGATTTGCTGCTTCACTTAAGCAAGCTTCGTTTGTGAATACGTGCGTCAATATTTAAGTCTAGTATTTATTAAATACATGTCAGTGCGCTTTTACCGTAACACACTCCGGAAGTATGTCATGTTGAAACAATAAATAAATCGAACAACCGATGACACAGTGTACGTAAAATAGATACTAAACCGTTATTTTCACACCTATTCTGTCAAATAACGTGTACATTACCCAGTTCATTGCCTTTTTCGTCCAGTTAAACAAATAAAAAAACGCTAATTTTTTTTACCAGGTTTTGTATATTTGTATACGGGACTTTTGCCTTTGACGTATAAAAATGCCGCAGTAGAGAATACAAGTACTTGACTCATTTTGTGGTCAAGGTTAGAGAAGTTAGATATCTAGGTTACTACTTAGACTTGACTAACTCGACATGGAATAAAACCAATCAAACAATTGTTATTTAAAATGCAAAATAGTATACTTCGTTGGGTTGTGAGATACTGGGTTTATTGCATTAATTTATTTTTGCGTCTAATTTTATTCTATTCTAATAACAGAATCTTGTCTTGCTATGAGAGGAAGCCATGATTAAGCATAGTCTCTAGTTATACATGGTGAAGACAACAACTAACTACTTAATTAAAATAAGCATAATGCATGATAATATAATAACCGATACTTTTAGTCATAATACATTATTATCAGATAATTTAGTTTACACTGCAGGAACACGACCCTCTAATCCATTGGTTCCCAAAGTGGGGGGCGCGCCCCCTAGAGGAGGCGCAAAGACCTTTATAGGGGGGCGCGGGCCATCTGTGTAGGTACTTAAGTATAAAAAAACCTGCGATCGACCGCTGAGAGAATGCATTCCAGACTGCTCGATACGAAAGGGGGCGCGTCTCAAATAAGTTGGGGCACCAGTGCTCTGGTAAAGGTAGCAGGGAAGCGCTGGACGCAGGCCGCTACCAATTGATCAACGTGGAAAGCATTGGGGGAGGCCTATGTTCAGCAGTGGACGTCCTATGGCTGAAATGATGATGATTATGATGACCAATGCTCTAATCTCTCTCCCAGAGGTAAATGGAGGATTTGGTCTACATTATCAGCGCTGGCGATTTGGGGAGGCTTGTTTTTTTAAAATACGGAATATTAAAAAAAAATGTATCTTATAAAGTTCTTATCGTGTCTAATTTTTGTATTTCTCACCCTGTAGAACTATTTTAAATTACAGCTCGTACTCGTACAAATAAATTATGTTTAATTGCCGTTTCCGCAGTCGTTATAGTGATAAAACATAACAATACTGATTGTTTAAACTTTAAAACAATACTGAAACCATATTAAGGTTTCACACACTGCGCCATAAATGCAGCTGTTTTAACTGCTGCAACTGTAGTCGTAGCGCATCGTAGGATTTCAGCAGTTAACCTAACATGAAAAATAAATAACCTAGGTACGTACCATCGGCAACAGTGTTAACTATCCATTGCCTGTCATGTCGTCTCGTTCTATCGCAAAGAATCACCATTTGATGAGAGCGAGAGCAAAAATGGAAATGGATAGTTAACAGTGTGGCCGTGTGTAGTCAGCGTCAAATAGTTTATGACACCCGGTAGCCAAAAAGGTGACAACACAAAAAGACGCGTTGCGAACTTTGTTTGTGGCTACTTTGGGTGTCACGGTAGTCCGTAACTTTGACGCTACTTTGTCTTTGTACTTTGACCCTGACTGTAAATACGTCTATGTCTGCTGGAATTCCAAATCACTGTAAAGCCCCATTTATGAGTCAGTGATGAGTTTAACAGATTTTACAGTACAGTTTACTCATATTGATATTGATCCGTGATTTCTTAATGTTGAATTAAACAATTAGGCAAGTCGCAGACCTCACACAAAATACAAAGAATCGTGAATGATGATGATCGATTGGATGACACATGGAGCTCATTTTCATTTCGTTTATTCCAAAAATGCTCTTTGAGTCATTGATTCTCAGGAGCATTGCTCGTTAAGTCACGCTTGCATGGCACTTTTTTGGGGTTTAACCGTTCAAAACTCAAGTGAATATTTAACGATAAATATTAATTCAAGTGGTAAGATCACTACATCAATAAAAATACCTAGTGTAACAATAATTCAGGTTTACATCATCATCACCAAGCACTTCAATTTATAACTTCTCTACATCACCGTCATCATCAAAATCAGGTCTTAATGTTCACTGCAGGAGAACAACCCATTCTAATTTACCAGAGGCAAAGGGTAGATTTGGCCTACACCGCTCACGATAGCCTGATGTTCGCATATTTGTCGCTTAGTCACCTTTTACGGCATCTAATGTGGATCTTTTGATGTGGATGATTGAACCTACAGTGCTGCTTACTAGGTCAATCAAATTAGATCCAAAAGTTGCGTTTTCAACAATTACCCAATTCTTCAAGAAAAATTAAGGTTTTTTCACTTTATAGTGACACACAACACAAAAATAAGCTGGCGATACTCCTAAAAAGACATACATCAACTGACCTGCATGACTGTGACAGCTCCGTACGTGATTGCGATCCAGTATATGGACCCCAAGAGCACTCCTCCAGCTATGAACGGGCAGATCTTGTGGGTGATCTCCTCCATAGCATCCAGGAGAGCCACGAAGGCCCCCATAGAGGGGAATACCACTATGTATTCCGCCTTGCATTGCGGGCAGAGGACTTTGCGGGTGATATTGCCGCGTTGCTTCTCGTCAACCCATCGTTGGAGGCAGCTTTGATGCACCTGGAACAAGGGACAACAGTAATGTAAGACTTCTGGTGCCTTATCATCTAGTTTTTTTTTAATTCAGCTTTGAAGTTTTCCGAAAAGTTAAAAATGGACTGAACATTTAAGTTTACATGGCTATAATTTTTTTTTCAAAAGAGATAGCGATCTTCGGATTTTATCAAAACTTCTCTAGTCTATCCCCATTCAAACGGTATACTAATCTTGTTTAAATAATAATAACAACTTCACAAATTCCTTAAATTAGTGCATTGACTCTACTCGGACTGATTTGCGAAATTTGTGTTTATAGCCCCTTTTTGTGTGAATAGCACGTTAAATACCTACAGGTAAAAATTATTTATCTTATGCAATGTAAAAACCTTTTCCCTATAGTTTTTCAATGTGGATTTCTTGAAATTAAAGACGCAAATAATTATTTTGATCGTTTTTAATTATTAAAATTTTTTTTCAAAATGTCCGCTTAGGCAACGTATACACTCACGACATCTTCTTCTAATTTCGACTGTTGTCGTATGCAGGCTCATTTCTCTTTTTTTATTACTACAAAGGCGTTTTTTATTCGTTGTTGTAGTTCTTCTATTGTTTGAACTTCCATTAAGTACACCAGTTCTTTAGCTCGTCCCCAGACGTAAAAATCTAACGGAGTTAGGTCTGGGGAACGTGCAGGCATATACAGTGGTATAGGGCCATCTCTGCCAATCCACGAATTGCCGAGGCGGACATTTTGAACAAAATTTGTAATAATTAATAAACGATCAAAATAATTATTTTCGTCTTTAATTTCAAGAAATCCACATTGAAAAACGATAGGGAAAAGGTTTTTACATTGCATAAGATAAATAATTTAACGTGCTATTCACACAAAAAGGGGCTATAAACACAAATTTCGCAAATCAGTCCGAGTAGAGTCAATGCACTAATTTAAGAACTTTGTGAAGTTGTTGTTATTATTTAAACAAGATTAGTATACCGTTTGAATGGGGATAGACTAGAGAAGTTTTGGTAAAATCCGAAGATCGCTATCTCTTTTAAAAATAAAATTATAGCCATGTAAACTTAAATGTTCAGTTCATTTTTAACTTTATGATATTTGCCAGTAAATTTAGATTTGATGCAACCCTACATCAATGCACGTCAAAACAATATATTTACTTTGAGGCTACGTCAAGCAGTTTTTTTTTAAATCGAAATTAAATGATGCGATTTAGGTATTTTGCTGAAATTACTAAAAAATTTAATATAAAAGTAGCCGCCTGGCATGGAACGTGTTATGGGGGCTGAAAATATAGGAAATGACCCATTCTATCCGCCAAATCATTTTGGCACACGATGCGCCAAACACCCTGTAGTTCCAGCATCTAACTAAATGATAAAAGGTACCTTAAGAACAGCTACATAAGACTCACTTTCCAAACGGCAGTATGTAGGACAGCGCGGGCACCTTCGCGCAGTACTTCCTAAGGAACAGCAGTACGGAGTCCTCCCAGTTGTACATCTTGGCGCTGATGAGTGTCACCGGGATCGTGGGCAGGAGGACTAGCAGCACTAGTGGGTCGGCTGACTCCATCATCTCTAGCCCTTCTCTGTGGCCGACCACCTGGAAATAACAATAAAAGTATTCATTCACACGACTCATTTAGGAAACTCAACTTTTCTTATATTCTTCCGATACATCTAGGGTTGCCAGGCGTCCGGATAAAGCCGGACATAGTTAGGCTTTTTGATTGCGTGTCCGGCCAAAATAACCGATGTCCGGCTTTTGTTAGGCTTTTTATTTGGCTGCCGTGCCAGGCGAAAGTCGAGCCACAGAATAAGGCACGCACGCATGCATCAGGACGTTAGGCAACCGATGATGATAGTACTCACTCGTGAGCTCACTAATTGCATGTCCGACTTTAAGTAAAATGTCCGGCCAAATGAAGCACATAGACCGGCTTTTGTGTTTTTGGACCTGGCAACCCTAGATACATCGGAATGGTTATGGTCGCAGGTCTAAACTACTGGACTTCACTAGTTGTTTTTTACGGTCAAGGAAAGCGCTTGTACAATCACCGGTACGTTTTGTTAAAAATCGCTCGTATTAAAATTACATTGGATACCAATGATACCATAGTTATGTCCTAAACTCAAAGGCCGTACTGCTACATCAAAATACCATTTTTATTATAATAACATAATAGCAAGAGTCAATTCCCCTTTTATCAATACGTAGAGCAACCATTCTCTGTTGCTTTTCTTTATGATTCCATAACATGACATGTAGGAGTATGTATATACCAGTGCGAGAATCCAACCAAGATCTTGGGCAAATCGAAAGAATAAATTATCTAACCTAAAGAGCATAAGACGTTAACATTTAAAATTGATTTGGTCCACTTTGTGTTGTAAAAAAGAACCATTGACTCTTTTGTTACATTTAAACATAGTGTGCCTTATTATAAAAAACTTTAACGTGTGATGAACACTGGTTTAAAATGGGACAATATTATTTGATCCTCTAAAAACTACTTGATCTTTTTTGTATGTGCACTTTTAAAAATAAATGATGTATTTTATTATATTTTATCTTTATATTAATTATTGGGTCTATTTTAGTTGATCTACGGATAAATTATGAATGATCTTCATTTAAGGTAACATAATATTTATGTTTAACATACTCTTTTAATATTTGGTAAACAAAAATAATATTTGATCCTCTTTTTTAGTTATTGATCTTTAATTTTGTTAATTTGATGATTTTTATATCAAGTTTGCCTTTTAATATTGATCACCTAATAAATACATTTCAATCTATGTATAACTTAACTTTAAAATATATTTGATCTAACTAAAAATATTATTGGTAAATATTTTTAATTAAAAAATATCTTTTAATTTACGCGGTACTTTGTGGTTGAGTGACAATCGTCCGTCATTGGTCACTGAGTTGGCCAAGGGCTTAGCGGCCAATAAGCAAGCAGAATGGTACATTGCCATGTTTGTTTAAATTACTAGCTTTGCTTAGTTTGGGACTAGAGGCGCTATGTAAAATAATTTCTTACTTCTGTCATCCCTGAACCCGACATCATAATTTTTACCTCTTTATTTTGTTTTCAAATCGCAAGGTTGATTTTCTCTTAGTATACCAGATATATCATTTTTATATAAATGGACAAATGCTAAAGCCTTTTCCAATAAATCAGTATCATTCAAGTTTTGCAAAGTGGCAGGCTGCAAGACACTAAAATTGGAAACAATTTCATTCATTCCAAGGAAACGCGATCTAAGTTGATTAATGATGATGTCTAATACACGATAGAATACGTTCACTTTAAACAAGCTTTCAGGATCTTGGAGACGTTCATCCTCACAAATTTCATCAAAATGACGTTTCACTTTTCTCTGACGAGTTTTAGGAAATTCAGGGTTTATAGACCATTTAACTGCAATACTATTTGCTTCCGTTTTTAAATCTTCAAATTCATGTCGATACTTTTCAAGTTCTTCTAGACAGACTTGCAAACGCTTTGAAGCATTTGAAAGATCGATGGCTTTAGATTGAAGTGCTTTAGAAGCCGCGTCTATGGTTTGTAAGACTTTGCAATGGAAAACCAGCAACATAATAAAATTGTATTTCTCTACCTTCTTCTTTAGCTAGATAGCTTCATTTCTCTCATCTGATTTGGAATTTAATAAAATGGTTTCTGTTAGCGCTTTTTGAACATCAACAAATCGAACCTTTGAAGCAAACATGGCATCAAAGCGTCCTGCCCATCTAGTTGGATTCATTGTTTTTAATGTTAACTATTGCGCTAAATTTTAGCTGTGAATTTTATGAATGGCAATAAGAGAAGATGTGTTTTTATGTGAATTTATTTAACCATTATCTAAAATTTAAATTATTACATTTATCAAAATCAACTGAATTAAATAAATGAATATTTTTCTGGTCATCATTACGTTCGGGTGCGGTTAGTGTGTTCACCAGATGCCGTTTCTTTTTTTACAGTTTTAGTCATTTTCTTTAAACCGTGTTCAGGCAACATAAAAGTATGGCAAATTTTCTTAAGAACTTTCAACGGATGACGTATCATTATAATTGAACTCTGTTAGTAAAATCAGAGACAGTCATAACATAACACTTTAATGTAAAAAAGAGACAAAATAATAAACACATCATTAACATTGTGGTCGGGGAATACTAAATCCTTCGGGGAATTCCCAGATCGTAATTTATGTAACGTTTTACGGCTCTGGCAATTAACTTATTGGCTTAAATTTAAGATCGTCAATATTTTTACAATTTTCTACTAGATTCCAAAAAATATTTTTTAGCGCATTGTATTGAGAAAAAAAGCGCTGAAGAGTTTAGAATTGCGCTATCTAGCGAGAAATGCACTATAACGGCAACACTGATTTTAATGCCGGCAGTATACCTACCTAGTCTCAGCGAAACATGCCCAGTGAATATAAATGTAAACCAATATACATTTTTGAGGTATGTTTGTCCACACATGTTTCCAAAATTATTACGAGTAATTGGATTTTAAACATTCTTTCTAAAACTGGGTTAATTTTTTTTTTACCAATGCATTGAAAGTTTAATACCTAGGTACCTATATTTTTTTTAGTTGTGTATGCAACTAAGAAGGTAACAAATAAATTAAAGACAAAACTTTTTTTTACTTAAGTAAGTAGTATGTGTAATAATAAATGTTGGGAATTGAGATTTCCTCTGACCGGGGGCCCCTTCGGGCTGGGGGCCCGTGGCATTTTGCCGACTTGCCACCTTATAGTTACGCCACTGGAGAGCACTTTCTACGAAGAACTGCCTATGTTCAGCAGTGGACCTCCTGAGGCTGAAATGATGATAATAACTTGTAGGGAATTAATTAGAGCTTGAAAGTAAACAGTTACATGGGGAACCATAATTTTTCAAGACCAACTTCATTGCAATGTTGGAAATGGAAAAAAATTTTTTTTTTATTTCGACGGCCGTTACATGCATGAGACGATGATCATAAAGACATTTTGTGAAAGACAGGCAAAGCCGTTGGTGGAAGCTAGTGGTAATATGCTGAAATTACCACGATTGCAGTTTATTTTAAACCGCAGCCAAAGCTAACCGTACCTAAGCCGGTATTCACAAACATTGACGCAGAGGGTGACACACGAACCAATCACAGAGCTTTATTCAACGCTGTGCGTTCGATTTGCTGCTTCACTTAAGCAAGCTTCGTTTGTGAATACGTGCGTCAATATCTAAGTCTAGTATTTATTAAATACATGTCAGTGCGCTTTTACCGTACACACTCCGGAAGTATGTCATGTTGAAACAATAAATAAATCGAACAACCGATGACACAGTGTACGTAAAATAGATACTAAACCGTTATTTTCACACCTATTCTGTCGAATAACGTGTACATTACCCAGTTCATTGCCTTTTTCGTCCAGTTAAACAAATAAAAAACGCTAATTTTTTAACCAGGTTTTGTATATTTGTATACGGGACTTTTGCCTTTGACGTATAAAAATGCCGCAGTAGAGAATACAAGTACTTGACTCATTTTGTGGTCAAGGTTAGAGAAGTTAGATATCTAGGTTACTACTTAGACTTGACTAACTCGACGTGGAATAAAAACAATCAAACAATTGTTATTTAAAATGCAAAATAGTATACTTCGTTGGGTTGTGAGATACTGGGTTTATTGTATTAATCTATTATTGCGTCTAATTTTATTCTATTCTAATAACAGAATCTTGTCTTGCTATGAGAGGAAGCCATGACGAAGCATTGTCTCTAGTTATACAAGGTGAAGACATAAAAAATTCATAAAACTCATTATTTATGCAAGTAGGCTTTTAAAAAGCACTTTTGTACGTCCCAGTATTAACCCTACCACTGCATCAGGACAATAAATGGGCCAGGTGCTGAGAAAAAGCAGCGCAAGAAACTCAGTCACTATTGTCAGCCTCTTTTTCAAGGCTTTACAGACTTTAATAGTTTACATAGTTACAAATATTTATGCGTGCTAGCTAAAAACAACTAACTACTTAATTAAAATAAGCATAATTAATATCAATCAAACATAACCGATACTTTTAGTCATAATACATTATTATCAGGTAATTTAGTTTCCACTACAGGAGCACTACCCTCTAATCTCTCTCCCAGAGATAGGTAAATGGAGGATTTGGCCTACATTACCAGCGCTGGCGATTTGGGGAGGCATACTTTTAATACATCATCATCATCTCAGCCATAGGACGTCTACTGCTGAACCTAGGCCTCCCCCAATGCTTTCCATGTTGCCCAGTTGGTAGCGGCCTTTTAATACGGAATACTTAAAAAAATGCATCTTTAAAGTATCGAGTCATATTTTTGTATTTCTCACCCTGTATAAGTATTTTAAATTACAGCTAGTACTCGTACAATGAAATTATGTTTAATTGCCGTTTTCGCAGTCGTTATAGTGATAAAACATAACAATACTGATTGTTTAAACTTTAAAACAATACTGAAACCATATTAAGGTTTCACACACTGCGCCATAAATGCAGCTGTTTTAACTGCTGCAGCTATAGTCGTAGCTACCATGAAAAATAACAAGCAACAGTGTTAACTATCTATTGCCTGTCATGTCGTCTCGTTCTATCGCAAAGAATCACCATTTGATGAGAGCGAGAGCAAAAACGGAAATGGATAGTTAAGAGTAGGCGCACACCGTTGATTTTTCGTCGGCCAATAGTTTAGTCGGGCAGTTGATCAGTATGGGCATGTATGGGAGTGCGCACACTACGCCGATTCGATTTGGCCGATTCTTCATACAATTTAAAATCGGACACAACTATCGGCCAACTAAAAATGAAAGGTGTGCGCCTACTCTAACAGTGTGGTCTTGTGTACAGTCAGCGTCAAATAGTTTATGACACCCGGTAGCCAAAAAGGTGACAACACAAAAAGACGCGTTGCGAACTTTGTTTGTGGCTACTTTGGGTGTCTGTCACGGTAGTCCTTGACTTTGACGCTACTTTGTCTTTATACTTTGACCCTGACTGTAAATACGTCTATGTCTGCCGGAATTCTAAATCACTGTAAAGCCCCATTTATGAGTCAGTGATGAGTTTAACAGATTTTACAGTACAGATTACTCATATTGATATTGATCCGTGATTTCTTCACCTATTATGTTGAATTAAACAATTAGGCAAGTCGCAGACCATACACAAAATACAAAGAATCGTGAATGATGATGATCGATTGGATGACACATGCATGAAGCTCATTTTCATTTCGTTTATTCCAAAAATGCTCTTTGAGTCATTGATACTCGAGAGCATTGCTTTTGCATTGTTAAGTCACGCTTGCATGGCACTTTTTTGGGGTTTAACCGTTCAAAACTCAGTGAATATTTATCGATAAATATGAATTCAAGTGGTGATCACTTCATCAATAAAAATGCCTAGTGTAACAATAATTCAGGTAGGTATACATCATCATCACTAAGCACTTCAATTCATAACTTCTCTACATCACTGTCATCATCAAAATCAGGTCATAATGTTCACTGCAGGAGAACAACCCATTCTAATTTACCAGAGGCAAAAGGTAAATTTGGCCTACACCGCTCACGATAGCCTGATGTTCGCAAATTTGTCGCTTAGTCACCTTTTACGGCATCTAATGTGGATCTTTTCTACTTTTTCCTGAACTAAACGATTGAACCTACAGTGCTGCTTACTAGGTTAATCAAATTAGATCCAAAAGTTGCGTTTTCAAGAATTACCCAATTCTTCAAGAAAAATTAAGGTTTTTTCACTTAATTAATAGTGACACACAACACAATGAAAAAGAAATTGAGCTGGCGGGAGATACTCCCAAAAAAACATAGATCCACTGACCTGCATGACTGTGACAGCTCCGTACGTGATTGCGATCCAGTATATGGACCCCAAGAGCACTCCTCCAGCTATAAATGGGCAGATCTTGTGGGTGATCTCCTCCATAGCATCCAGGAGAGCCACGAAGGCCCCCATAGAGGGGAATACCACTATGTATTCCGCCTTGCATTGCGGGCAGAGGACTTTGCGGGTGATGTTGCCGCGTTGCTTCTCGTCAACCCATCGTTGGAGGCAGCTTTGATGTACCTGGAACAAGGGGCAACAGTAATGTAAGACTTCTGGTGCCTTAAGTCGAACCTTAACTTCGATCGACCTCCTCTTATGTTCTTCTGATTAATTTCGTTGCGGGTCCAATGATAGCTTAGTTTAACTTTCCCCCGGGACAAACTTGGCCTTCAATGGTTGGGATTTTATTGGCGGTCAAGCTGAAGATCCAGGCTACACAAGATGCAGCGGTGGGAACGGCTATTAAAACACATTTCCTCTGCGATTTCGTGGAAACCGAGAATAAAGCCCGAGTCTGAACTAGTGTGGTCCTGTGTGGTGACTGGTGATCTCACTTGCTTCAATTCACACAATAAAATAAGTTAGATTATGACCTAGGACAAACAAACAGAGCTGTGTGACGTATTACATACTGCAATCATCTTATCGGTCACCTCATTATTACTGAATTAATGTCATTACGATTAAAGAATTTTAATACGATATTTAAATACCATTATTATCAGCTCGTAACAATTATTTTTGCTATCTCCTTATTCGAGCCATATCCGATGCTTAATGTGCAGGCAAGTGTAACAGTAAGATATTGTATCAATAAAGTCGTATTCATTTGTTTTTGTTAATAAGAAACGTCGCAAATCTATCAAGAAATAAAATATCGTCGCCCATGGGCGTAGCCGCGGCCTTCAACAGACTCTACTATCTTAGAGGCTCTTCGTTTCCACGGAGTACCCTCATACCTGGGGTCCTGGGGAGGCTGTTGGAGTTATCTCCGAGACAGAGTGGTGGCATACATAGACGAAAATGGAACACTGGTTCGTAGGGCGAGGCATTGCGGTGTTCCACAGGGTTCGGTGCTTGGGCCAACTCTGTGGAATATTGGATACGACTTTGTCCTACGTAGCCTCCGTCCTAATACGCGACTGCTCAGCTATGCAGATGATACCCTCATTGTGAGCCACAGCTCGAGGGAGGAGCCTCGCTGAAGTGCTAGGACGATAGACTGCATCCAGGCACTGGGTTTGAAAGTGGCCCCGTCTAAAGCAGAAGCACTGATCTTTCACCGCGGATATAGTTTGCTACATATTATTTTATTTTAGACGGCTGCCCCACCCTGAGCCCATAGCCTGAGACGGCTGCCCCACCCTGTATTACTGTGTTTTTGGCAAATAAACGTTTTGAATTTGAATTTGAAATTTGAATACCTCGGGAATGCATTTTTCTCATATTTATGCATTTCGGTCAATCTTACAAATACCAGTTCTGGATCTTCATCCTGATAAATTGCACACACTTAAGAGGTTTTCACTCTAAGGAAGGCGTCGTAGGTACCTATACTTAAAACTTTTATACTATCGTAGACTTGTTCCTACAGTCCACGCAAATAAATATTAGCAGCCAAATCTTTAAGCGCGAAAAATGATGAAATCGGAACAAATTTCAGTGCAATGTCATGTTTTCATGCACTTCACGCCGTGTTAGAGAGGCACTTCACGGTAAAATTGAGGTTTGCTTTATCAGTAAGTAAGGATATCTCTATAATTTCAGTAATTTATTGGGGTAGGTACATTTAAATAAGTGTGTTTAAAAAAAATATTTATTAATAAACACTTATGAAATGATACTGATTAATAAAGTTATAATAAAATTATTTATCGATATTAAAAAAGTTACGATCACAAAAACTAATTGGGTATAGGTAGGTACGCTTGGAATTCCAATACGCTAATTTTTGGAAATGGGTTCACTTGATAGAATAGAGGTCAAGGGGAAATTCCCCCAACGTCCCTAAGTTCGATTCCCCTGGGGAATCGAACTTAGGGACGTTGGGTTTTGTCGTTACCGTTTTAAACATGACCTAGGGTAGGTAATTCAAATTCTTTGCTAGTATGATGCCTCTACAATTTATAAACTCAAATATCTCAATATTAATCATTAAAATACACAAAACAATACCTTTATCAAATGCGCTAATAAAGTGGAAAAGGTTATTTCTTTATGTAACTGTGTCATAGACAGATTTATTTACTGATTAGTAATTAATGAAAAATGATAAACTCAAAATCGCAAAGTTTATCTCTGACACAGTTAATTTGGTGAATTTTAACAGGTGTATTGTTATGTAAATATTGAATTATCATAAAAAATAACCAATTAACGTTAACATATCTTTGCTAAAAATAGCGCAACCTTTTTGACTAGGGTACAGCTACAGTTTATGCATGAAATTATCAAACTAATCCTGAACTCTGCCCATGAGGACTCGGGGGAGACTTCAGCTAGCAACCTCAAGTAATTTAACATTTATGTGTGCCTGATGTGTTGGCTTTGTCTTACCTGCTTTGAACAGTTTTTAAGGGGCTTGAGGTTTGTCAAATAAGAGGAAAAAACTGTTTAAAAAAAATTGATATTTTTTTTAATGACATTTTGGAAATCCATGTGAAGAAGTGGCAGATTTTTGCACTGCAGGTAGAATACTTACTTATAAGAGAATGCGGATATAATAATATTACTGGGAAATTAAATGTTAGGGACAATAGCCAAACAGTTGGTGTCGGATTGGCTGATTCAATATTCTAGGAACGCGGGTTCAACGCTGCTGGACTATTGTGGTAACCCCACTTGTAACACAAACATAATATTTAACTTACTATGAGAAGTTTAATTTGCGTAAAATTACTTTTATAAAGGGCTTCTATTTTTATTATACATATAGAAATTCTGATGCACATCTCAGAGGTTGTCAAAGATATTGATTTGTTGTATGAGAAAGACATCAACAAAGGGCTATTGTGTGGGATAAGGTTGATAACCTTGAGAGGGCAAACACCTCGATCTTGGGAAATATTCACATTGTAACAAGGATAAAAAAACGCTTGAAATAAGTGATACAAAGTACAAACATTGTCAGAGGAAACTGTTAAGTGGTTGAGACATTGTTTTTAATTATAAACAAAATTTTATAAATTGCTAAAAATAGTAACTTACAGCCATATTAAGTGAAGCAGCAACGCGAAGTCAAATCCAGTACCACTCAAGTCTGTCTATGAACAGGTTTTTGGGACCCTGTGCGTCATCACAGTGTGATCTTAGTAATGTTTGTGAATATGGGTGTAATTTTAAAGTCAAGTCAAGTCAAGTCAAAATTTCTTTATTTGTTTAGACTAATAAATAGTTCTTACAAATCGTCATTTTGCTCTTAAGGAGCCTCTACATGTCTCATAATCTTTTTACCCTACCAGCGCTTCGAGACCAACATTTGGCAAGTGCTGAGAAGAAGCGCCGCAACAAACTCAGTCACCACTGTCTGCCGGTTAATATAAATACATAAATAATTTTACGTGCATAATTGAGGTTTTATTTATGTTGTCGAAAACTATGATCAAAGAGATGGAGCATCATCAAAGATCCTAACTAAAAATTAAGAACTGGCATGGTGTACTTTTTTTTTACTATCTAGCTGTAAATCCTATCTACAAAGGAAGTAGGATAGGAATGGTCTTGTGCTTACTAGGGGAGTCCCCAAACAGTACATATTTGAACCCTGGATCAATTCTTTCTTGATAATGATAAAAAGATAAAGCTTAATAATGCATGATTCATTTGTGTTAATGGGTTATTAGATACTAGATTATTCAGATAAAAATAAAAAATAAATTAGTCACAATTATCTTACTAATCAATTGCTTCAATTTTGTTATTTTAATAAAAAAACATTAACGCTCCTTCTGGCGCAGTTGGGTAAAATATTAACCAAACAATAATCACCAGAATCTGTCAGTTTTTTATTTGATTGTTGTCAATATTTAATAAGTTACATAAAACACAAAATATGTAGGTAGGTGCTACAAAAAATTTTAAATGGTACTTTTCTTATAAGATTTTAAGTAGGTATTTAATATTATGTATTTTGTCATTTACAATATTAACAGTGAAGAATAAGAACTGGAGAAAACCTCCTAAATACATTGGTATATCAAAATTAATTCAATAATCATATTAATTAAAATTCTATCATGTGCCGAGTTTTTTAAATGGAACCTAATCTTAAAACACACTCAGCAATAACATATTTAACTTATTTTATCATAACTATAAAAGTCAATTGAATTTTCATTTTAATAAAACTGATTGTTTTTAAACAAAAACAAGCTTATTTAAAATTGTGTTTGATTTTCCTGTTCATATTACCCTCAACAAAATCAACAAACAAATTAACTTTCTACTACGATGCAAGTACAGGCCAAAAAACAATACACATAATTCAATAACCAAAGCCGGAAGACGTTTTTGCAACAGTTCGCAATACGGTTCAACACACTCACCCATTTTGTAGTGCCAATGCATTTGCAGGGCTGTACCCACGCCGCCAGACGGTCGTCCGCCTCCGTGGCAAAACACACCCAACAAGACTTCAAGTTCTCATCATCAGCAGACTGCAATGCCTGAGAACTGCCCTCACTCGTTCCATTATTCCCACTAGGCTTCTCGCTCGACATATTAACACCTATTGCGTCTTCACAAATCAAAACACACTAAAACTCCAAAACCAAATGCTAAACCGCACAACGCAATAAATAAATGCTAAATGCTCTAGTCACAGTACAAAATAAAAGGAAAACAAATATATTTTTTTATCTAAATGATAAAAATATTTTGTAAATCTACTCCAATACAGCTGTTTCAATGTCCGTGACAGAAATGAATGAAATAGTGGTGCACGCACAGACACTGACAAGCGCAAGCAGCGGTATCGATTATCGTATCGATTCTAACAAAATCAATGCTCGGTTAGTTCGGTAACTCACTGAAATATATATATATTTTTAATTTGTCTATACTTTTGCAAATAAAACTGTACAGTGGTGGACTTAAGGCCAGGTGGCATTCTCTGTCAGTCAACAACAGGTCAATTAAAGAGACAAAGGTGGTGCAAAAAATATGACGGTTTAGTTAGTTAATATACTTAGGTACATAGTATTAGGGGCCGTTCAAGTATTACGTAAGCAGATTTCTTACCATTTTTTACCCCCCCGCCCCCCTTGTCATCAAAAGTAAGCAAAGTACTTACCCCCTCCCCCTATGCTTACGTAAACATTTTGTTATAAATGTTTTTTATATTGTCATTTTTAAAATAGGAAAATAGGTATTAGGTTTAACTTACATAGAGTAAGGAACAAAAAAATATAATCAGAAAAAAAGAACATAACAAGCATCAATTATGCATCNCATTTTTTACCCCCCCCCCCCCCCCGTCATCAAAAATAAACAAAAAACTTACCCCCTCCCCCTATGCTTACGTAAACATTTTGTTATAAATGTTTTTTATATTGTCATTTTTAAAATAGGAAAGTTCATGAAAATAGGTATTAGGTTTAACTTACATAGAGTAAGGAACAAAAAAATATAATCAGAAAAAAAGAACATAACAAACATAATTGCATCAATTATGCATCAACATAAACACAAATGATAACTTTCAATGCGCGGGAGGCCGGCCTCACGTATAATATTTTATGCGGACTACGTGCCTTTTCACACGTTCCGGTTGCCGGCTATCCGGCGCCGGGTACCCGGCAACCGGAACGTGTGAAAAGGCACTTAGACTCTCAAATTTCAATGGGCAGTGTCGGCACGAGAGTTAATTATTAGACAAGTGAATAGCGCACGGTAAATTCCCTAATGTGCGGTAATTCCCCTAATCAGTTCTCAAAGCGAGTGCCTACGCATATGTATTATTTGCGGGAATCCCCGAAAAAACGTAAATAACTAACGATGACGTAATCATCATCTAGANTGGGCAGATAGATAAAAATATATAATCATAAGAATACATTTTATTAGAGCAGACACAGACAGTAGTAGTAAACGTAATAATAATTGGCGTACTACACATAGTATAACACATGCCATGTCAGATATAGGAAAAAAGTATTAGTCCTTAAAATAATTGCACAAAGCCTTTTGAAATGTACATTTGGAGGTTGCTTTTCGCGAACTCGCCGGAAGACTGTTCCAGAGCCGTACTGCTGAGACTGAGAAGGAGTTATACATGAAGCCGGTGGTATGGCGAGGGGTGACAAGCTGAAGAGGTTCAAGAATATTGACCATCATGAATTTTTTTGTGTCAAATTAGTATTTTAAACAGCACTTTGAAACTTGAATAAGGAATGAAGTCGATATGTTGACGTAAAATGTAAATAAAACGACTGAGAGATATGTTTGTCTTTAAATAGATCTAGCAAATAAATTCATCATCATCATTTATCATTTTAGTAATTCTTGGTCTCCCCCAATGAATTCCATCCCCCAATGCTTGTTGGAAATGGCCTGCATTCAGTGCCTTCCTGTCCTGCTACTAATTAAAATAAAGTATCGATAATAAAGTATATCTTTATCGATATTCAACAATAGCTTAGGGTGGTGGTGCGAAGGGTGAACATCCATTTGTCAAAAAACATTACTCTATGGTGATTGTCTGTGGTTTCACGCCCTACTTCTTCAATGTCATGATGACAGCAGAGTTGAGCAGAGTGTATATTACTGCGGAGTGTCGTGTCGTCATTATTGATGCAGGTCAGACAGGTCAACAAGAAGGTGGAAATGGGTACCAAAGAATACTCATACTATGGGTACTCAGCGAAAATAGAGGCGATCATATTCAAATTCAAATTGTTTTTATTGTGAAATCACAGGTAAATACATAAGTCACGTCCTGACTGGTCAGGTACTGTGTTCCGCCGCATGGGCATACAATTTGAAAGATACAGAATAATAATTGGTGAAATGATAGGTAGTACAATTTTTATAAAATAGAAGAGAATAAGAATAAAGAATAAATTTATTACTTAATAAAACTTAGCCTAGATACATTTGATTTCACTTACTTAAATTAAGGTTAGTGTGCGAAGGTAAAATTATTAATACCTAAACTAAGCAAAATTGTTTGCCTGTGTCTTAGGTATTTTACTAAAAGTAGGTTAGTGCATACTAAACATTATCACAATAACAGTGTGTAACTAAATATAAATACATTTCTATTCTTAATTACTAAGCATTATTTTTACCTTGATCTAAATTAAGTTAAAATCTGTAACAGGTTTTCAGTTTCGTCATAGGTTTTATTTTTTAGCTAATCTTGTATGATTTTTTTGCATGCGAATACAATATTAATGATACAATAGTTAGTCAATGATTAATATATTGATAAGTTAGTCATACAGAAAATATTATATAGTTTATAAAAACGATTGAAATGAAATATTAATTAAATCTGCACAATTATTTTCTTCATAAATTACAATATTAAATATGTCAAAATAAAATTTAATAAATGTCAAAATAAAATTTAATAAAGGTCAAAAATTAAATTTAATAAATGTCAAAATTAAATTTAATAAATGTCAAAATTTTTAAATATTCTCACACTAACTAGTGTAATAATTATTTGAATACGGACCTTAATTTTTTCACACTTATTTACATCGACACAAGAAAACCTAAACCAAACAATATCCACCGGAAAGTGGTTTGAAATAATTCTCATCAACCGATCAACAAATTCATAGGTCAGTCAAAATCTAAAAAGAAGACTTTTCTATAATAAAGCAGCCCCGAGACGATCAATTGCGATTGTCAATGTATTTACGTTCCAATTGACGGAAACGATTGTCAATCGCTCAGCGAAACGATCAATACTAGCTTCAATGGCACCCGTCAATTGGCTTCAATTAAAATTATCATCAATTTGCTTCAATCACGTAAATTCAATTGACAATCGCTTCAATGCCTTTTGTAAACGATCAATGTCAATTGACAATCACGTATATTGACAATCGCGATTGATCGTCTCGGCACGGTAATACTATCTATACAGTATTCCAACTCGGCCATATTTTTGAAATAAATGTCAACACTCGCGCGGAACGTCACCGCATGACAACATGCGATAGGGCTACCCACTTGCAGACCATAATTATTTTCATTACATCTGCCTACTTTGAATTTTTATCTAGTACTAGCTTTCCGCCCGCGGCTTCGCCCGCGTGGAATTTTGTCTGTCACAGAAAAACTNCTAATACTTTTAAGTCTAAAGTTAAATTTCCAACCGTCTTAAAAATAAGAGAAGCTCTTTTTGATTGCCGTTCGAAGGGTATAAATATCGTTTTGGCTTGGATCCCTAGTCACAGAGGAATTCCAGGAAACGAATCTGTTGACTCATGCGCAAAACATGCTATATCCTCTGGCTCCCTAGAGCACTACTCACTATTCTCTCATGACGCTGCATCCCTCTCCCTAGCCCATCTTTATAAATCGTGGAGAACTCATTGGGACAATTCAAAAAGGATGGTTGGCAAATACTATGCAGACATTCAAAACGATATTCCCCCTAGACCCTGGTTTTTTAAACACAAATACTTACCAAAAAGTTCTGTATCAATTATATGTCGGTTGCGAATTGGTCATGCGTGTACTCCGGTTCACCTTGCGAAGATGCACATAAAGGATAGTTCCTTATGCGAATGTGGCTTAGACGAAGGCACAACTAATCACATTTTCTTCAATTGTCCAAACGTAGGTTCCTCCTTATTTGATTTCCTTCCTGAAAGCGTTCCTCGCCCTACTAATATTAAATGTTTATTAAATTCTATGGACCCACCGCTTTTGAAACTACTATCAAAATTTATTCAATCCCGCAAAATTCGTTTGTAGGTAACCGAATTTTTTTCTTTCCTCTCCCAATCCTTAGTCCCACCTACCCCCTTCCTTACATTTTAATTTCTATGTTATGTATCTATATGTGGTGTCTCAATTTGTGTTGTCTTTTTTGTTATAGGTACACAAATAATAATTTTGCTTATTATTAGAAACGTTAAATATTTTTGTTTTTTTGTAAACCCTGTTACTTTGTCAAAACTGTTTACGTGACATTGGCGAAATCATGGTTCTCAAAACCAAGCCGTTGCCATAAAAAAAGAAGAAGAAGAAGGGTACGTCAAAGTGAACTTGTATGCCGAACATGCCCGCGGGCAAGTGTTATCGACTTAGGACGGCGGCGCGACACAGCCTATAACTTCATCAAATGTCAAATATGGACATTTCTCCTCTGGGTCCCTTTCTCGGTCGCTGGATGGATTTTGGACGACTTACGAATGGATGAAAAGTTAAATGATTTTTAATGAGATTTATTAACTTATTGCTTAATAAGTGGTGAAGTTGTAGAAAAGATTAATAGACAGCTGTGTTAATTTTTGGGAATTTGCTCCAAGAAGCTAAGTTCTAACCCGTCAGAAAAGAAGAAAGTTTTTGGGTAAGTAACAAGTTATTTGTTATGAAACCACCTTGAAATTTCTCACACAACACTTATTTGATTCACTTTAAATTAGAGAATACACAGTTAATTATATCTTAAAATTTGGCCTTCGATTGAATTCTCGGATCGAAAGTTGGCTAAGTCTAAGTTAGTTTGTACGTGCGTTTCGACATGTTACCTAATTTTACATAACTGTTTTTACTTGTTGATTCCACAAACCACTGATCTTATTGTTTGGTGGTGAGTTGAGCTGTGCTTTAATTATATTATCTAAACTACTATTATTCATCTCATTTGAAAAAACCAAAGTTCTTTGCCACATGGTTGTACTGTTATTTTCATTAATTTTTCAACTGTCGTTGTATGAGCTGTGTAGTATTATGCCCACTGTA